TGTGAGTGGGTGGAGAGGGACAAGGCTGACACAGTCACCTTAACCGCCGCAATTCGCTGTGCAAGTTAAGTCAGCTTTTAAGTACAAACAAAGGTTTGGATGCAATCGTAACACACCAGTGCAGAGGAAAAGAGTATATCTCGGATTTGTTAATTTTTGTTGTTGATTCATGTTGTATTGCTTATGTAGTATACACGATTGCCTCCGTTGCCTGGAGGGTAGAGCTTCTGACCCAGTCGGTGGTTCGATCCCCGGCCATCGATACTATAAAACGTTAATAGATGGTATTTATTGTTACCCTGCCCGGCGCTCGGCATTAACGGGCTAAACAAGGACTGGTCGGCTATGAGGTCAGTACACTGTGTCTGAGTGGGGTATTCATGTTAAACTGCGACATGGCATCTCTGTGGGCTAGCACTATGAAATCAGCATTAGTCCGGACTAGTATGAGCAGACAAACACACACACACACACGCACGCACACACACACACACACATACTTACGCACGCAAGCGCACACATGTACGAACGCACGCGCACACATGTACGTCGCTGTACAAGTACAATAATCTTTACATTAAACCCAATTTTACCTCACCTCAACTCCATGTTGCACCTTACAGTGCTCGTGGATTTCACCAAAGTGAAGCCGCATCACTTCAGGCTTTCCTTCTACATCAAGTTGACACGCCCTTATACAAGTAAAATACTGTTGAAAGCGGCGTTAATCCCCTCAATGACGAGTTATAATTTTGACGCACATGCTTATGTGATTGTAGTATCGGGGGGTTTAACACATCTCACTTACTCACTAGCTATAAAAATGTTTGGCGTAATGAGTATCAAAGAAAAGGTAGTCTGCACCCATTTGTCATACACCCCGTTTTGTGGACAGGTTAAATAAAGTGGTGCTGGGTTGACATATTGTGGCCACTCATTGTTACAATGGAACATCCCTGACAGGATTAAACTTGTCATGTTATGGTATAGGAGGTTAGGCTTGAATATTGTCGGGAGCAAAGAGATCAAGACAACTAACTGAAAATATTCATTCGCCTTGTGGTTAAATATACCTCAGAAGCAAGATAATGTTTCATTGCTCAATAATAACGTTTTAAGAGTTGATCGAAACATTAGTAAAGAGATTGACTATAACATCTCCTCTTGAGTTGATTACTGTACAGTTTCTAGATTTAGAAATCATCAATGTGATAAATGTCAACACTGTTAGATAAATAACAGAATGTACTCAAAATGAAAGGGTACCCTTATCATACGTCTCCCCCCCCCCCCTTTTTTTCTCTCTCTCTCTCTCTCTTTCTCTCTCTCTCAGTCGCCTCTATCTCTGTCTCTCTCATAGCGCGAAATCTTCACCAATAGAGGGTTATCTCCCTTTGAGACATATCGCCCCATCCAATGACGTCATAGACAGGAACAATAGGATGACGTCATAGAATTGTTCCATGACGACATACCTGGCTTTCCAGCCTGTCGACAGTAAGACACCGTAGCTATCAGACGTACATTTCTTGCTTCCTGGAAACTTCATAGTTGTTTGCAGTTGAGTGTACCTTTTTACCAGTGCAACTCTAACCGAAGTGTATAAGGTGAGAACACTGCATTTAGAAATTTCCGAAGAACTGAAATGTCTTGTGGGAAAGTTGTGGTTTTGAAGGTTATTGAACAGTGTAAACGTATCTGTAGAACACTACATTATGTCTCAGACAACAGCCTTCTTTATTGTTCCTGTAACTATCATACCCTCGCAGCCACGGTCTAGCAGCTGGTCTGTAGTTTCACATTCAGATTTCATTTTCTCCAGATGAGTCTGCATCCTCAAGTGCGGTCGAGACGCCGGAAAATTCTCTCGCCCATTCTTGAAACGAACGAGGGCGAAATAATCCCAATCAGATTAACACCCACAGAAAAAGAACATTTACTTGGTAAGTGTTAAATATACTCCTAGAACTTAATGTTTATTGTGTAGTAGTCATTAATTTAATTGGAATTTCAGAATAATCGCTTGGTGTGTGTAGGAGTTAATAAAACACTGCATTAAAACAAACATAAATAATCCATAAATATACACAGTCAAGCCTTCGGTCCCTCGGCCTTCATCAGGCACACTCTGTTGGTTTCCACAACACAGTGGAAGGTCCAAGACATGTAATTGTGCCTGATGAAGGTCGGGAGGCCGGAAACGTGACTGTACATATTATTTATTTATATATTTATTTGAATTCAGCGATGGGAATATATACAAAAGAAGATTTATCAATAATCCAGTCAATGTAAAATCTAGTGTATTGTAAACCAGATAAATTGTAAATGCGTTCAACCCAACAATGTCACAGTTGTCAACAATGTCAACAAGTTGGTCTCGAAATATATATGTATATAATCTTTTCTTTAATGTTCGCAGTTCAGTACATGGACTTAAAGTCTCAAGTTGGAGATTTGGAGGAAAGGTAAACACTGTGAACTCTCATATACCTTTTATCGTTATTATTTATTCTAAAAGAGATCTCCGAGTTTATATTTATTCTTGATAAAATACGAATTACCACATCCTTATATCCATCCAGGAACAATGGAGGATAATTTTATCTATGTTTTAATAGTATTGATAACTAAGCATTGTTATATATATTGAATATATATGTATGTATCTTCTAATCGGGAACATATTTCTACTTCAGCCTTCTTGACCATCTCTTCCATGAGAACAAGAAACTCCTAGAAGAGAATGAGCGACAGAGGCGAGAAGTGAGCCATGAGAGAGAGTTGCGGCTGAAGGCCGAGGCTGAAAGACAACAGTTCCGACTAGACTATTATAACTATAAACTCAGTTTCACAATGGAGCAGGCTGAGCTACGGGAAGTGAAGAAAACACTGGAGGAGCTGGCGGGAATGTGGGAGACGGAGAAGAAGGCGGAGGAGGAACAGAGGAAGAAGCTGGAGGAAGAGCTGAAGCAGCTGAAGTCACACCATCAGCTTGCTGTGCATGAACTGGCTGCCCTCCAGCACCACACTGCTCCTCTGACCTGTCAGACTCCCGGCAAGACACAGCCAAGTCTTCCCTCCGTGGCTCCTCCAGTTCAGCCGAAGAAGACACACAGACCCTACACGGGGCGATCTAAGAACAAAGGTCTAAACCATGCCTCATCTGCCAAGTCGGACCTCCTCGCTTCAGGGGACAACGTCATCAAGGTCAAGGTTATAACAACCCATAACAACTTAAAGATCGCTGGTGGTGTTTTGCCCAAAGACTCGCAAATTCACAATGCTGCCAAGAAACCAATCCGATAAACCAAAGCTGTTGCCATTGCAAAGCAAACGCAAGTTCGGAACATGCGATAATGACTTATAACATTTAAGAAGTGATTTTTTATCTTTAAATTTCATATTGTTGTTATCTATTCAATTGTTATTTCGTTTTACAAGAATATAACATCGCAATACTTAAACCAGCGTATTGTGTTGTTTTTTTCACGAGGGTTGAAATCGCCCTGGAAATGTACATAAACAACGGTCTTTCAGAAGTCAAGATTACTTGTTGGCTTATTGTCTCGGGAGGTGTGGGTGGTGGAGAGGGACAAGGCTGACACAGTCACCTTAACCGCCGCAATTCGCTGTGCAAGTTAAGTCAGCTTTTAAGTACAAACAAAGGTTTGGATGCAATCGTAACACACCAGTGCAGAGGAAAAGAGTATATCTCGGATTTGTTAATTTTTGTTGTTGATTCATGTTGTATTGCTTATGTAGTATACACGATTGCCTCCGTTGCCTGGAGGATAGAGCTTCTGACCCAGTCGGTGGTTCGATCCCCGGCCATCGATACTATAAAACGTTAATAGATGGTATTTATTGTTACCCTGCCCGGCGCTCGGCATTAACGGGCTAAACAAGGACTGGTCGGCTATGAGGTCAGTACACTGTGTCTGAGTGGGGTATTCATGTTAAACTGCGACATGGCATCTCTGTGGGTTAGCACTATGAAATCAGCATTAGTCCGGACTAGTATGAGCAGACAAACACACACACACACGCACGCACACACACACACACACATACTTACGCACGCAAGCGCACACATGTACGAACGCACGCGCACACATGTACGTCGCTGTATAAGTACAATAATCTTTACATTAAACCCAATTTTACCTCACCTCAACTCCATGCTGCACCTTACAGTGCTCGTGGATTTCACCAAAGTGAAGCCGCATCACTTCAGGCTTTCCTTCTACATCAAGTTGACACGCCCTTATACAAGTAAAATACTGTTGAAAGCGGCGTTAACCACCTGGATGCCGAGTTATAATTTTGACGCACATGCTTATGTGATTGTAGTATCGGGGGGTTTAACCCATCTCACTTACTCACTCGCTATAAAAATGCTTGGCGTAATGAGTATCAAAGAAAAGGTAGTCTGCACCCATTTGTCATACACCCCGTTTTGTGGACAGGTTAAATATAGTGGTGCTGGGTTGACATATTGTGGCCACTCATTGTTACAATGGAACATCCCTGACAGGATTAAACTTGTCATGTTATGGTATAGGAGGTTAGGCTTGAATATTGTCGGGAGCAAAGAGATCAAGACAACTAACTGAAAATATTCATTCGCCTTGTGGTTAAATATACTTCAGAAGCAAGATAATGTTTCATTGCTCAATAATAACGTTTTAAGAGTTGATCGAAACATTAGTAAAGAGATTGACTATAACATCTTCTCTTGAGTGGATTACTGTACAGTATCTAGATTTAGAAATCATCACTGTGATAAATGTCAACAGTGTTAGATAAATAACAGAATGTACTCAAAACGAAAGGGTACCCTTATCATACGTCCCCCCCCCCCCCCCCTTTCTCTCTCTCTCTCTCTCTCTCTCTCTCTCTCTTTCTCTCTATCTATCTCTCTCTCAGTCGCCTCTATATGTCTCTCTCATAGCGCGAAATCTTCACCAATAGAGGGTTATCTCCCTTTGAGACATATCGCCCAATCCAATGACGTCATAGACAGGAACAATAGGATGACGTCATAGAATGGTTTCCATGACGACATACCTGGTTTGCACGCCAGTCGACAGCACGACATCGTAGCTATCAGACGTACATTTCTTGCTTCCTGGAAACTTCATAGTTGTTTGCAGTTGAGTGTACCTTTTTACCAGTGCAACTCTAACCGAAGTGTATAAGGTGAGAACACTGCATTTAGAAATTTCCGAAAAACTGAAATGTCTTGTGGGAAAGATGTGGTTTTGAAGGTTATTGAACAGTGTAAACGTATCTGTAGAACACTACATTATGTCTCAGACAACAGCCTTCTTTATTGTTCCTGTAACTATCATACCCTCGCAGCCACGGTCTAGCAGCTGGTCTGTAGTTTCACATTCATATTTCATTTTCTCCAGATGAGTCTGCATCCTCAAGCGCGGTCGAGACGCCGGAAAATTCTCTCGCCCATTCTTGAAACGAACGAGGGCGAAATAATCCCAATCAGACTAACACCCACAGAAAAAGAACATTTACTTGGTAAGTGTTAAATATACTCCTAGAACTTAATGTTTATTGTGCAGTAGTCATTAATTTTATTGGAATTTCAGAAATAATCGCTTGGTGTGTGTAGGAGTTAATAATACACTGCATTAAAACAAACATAAATAATCCATAAATATACACAGTCAAGCCTTCGGTCCCTCGGCCTTCATCAGGCACACTCTGTTGGTTTCCACTACACAGTGGAAGGTCCAAGACATGTAATTGTGCCTGATGAAGGTCGGGAGGCCGGAAACGTGACTGTACATATTTATTTATTTATTTATTTATTTGAATTCAGCGATGGGAATATATACAAAAGAAGATTTATCAATAATCCAGTCAATGTAAAATCTAGTGTATTGTAAGCCAGATAAACTGTAAATGCGTTCAACCCAACAATGTCACAGTTGTCAACAATGTCAACAAGTTGGTCTCGAAATATATATGTATATAATCTTTTCTTTTATGTTCGCAGTTCAGTACATGGACTTAAAGTCTCAAGTTGGAGATTTGGAGGAAAGGTAAACACTGTGAACTCTCATATACCTTTTATCGTTATTATTTATTCTAAAAGAGATCTCCGAGTTTATATTTATTCTTGATAAAATACGAATTACCACATCCTTATATCCATCCAGGAACAATGGAAGATAATTTTATCTATGTTTTAATAGTATTGATAACTAAGCATTGTTATATATATTGAATATATATGTATGTATCTTCTAATCGTAAACATATTTCTACTTCAGCCTTCTTGACCATCTCTTCCATGAGAACAAGAAACTCCTAGAAGAGAATGAGCGACAGAGGCGAGAAGTGAGCCATGAGAGAGAGTTGCGGCTGAAGGCCGAGGCTGAAAGACAACAGTTCCGACTAGACTATTATAACTATAAACTCAGTTTCACAATGGAGCAGGCTGAGCTCCGGGAAGTGAAGAAAACACTGGAGGAGCTGGCGGGAATGTGGGAGACGGAGAAGAAGGCGGAGGAGGAACAGAGGAAAAAGCTGGAGGAAGAGCTGAAGCAGCTGAAGTCACACCATCAGCTTGCTGTGCATGAACTGGCTGCCCTCCAGCGCCACACTGCTCCTCTGACCTGTCAGACTCCCGGCAAGACACAGCCCAGTCTTCCCTCCGTGGCTCCTCCAGTTCAGCCGAAGAAGGCACACAGACCCTACACGGGGCGATCTAAGAACAAATGTCTAAACAATGCTTCATCTGCCAAGTCGGACCTCCTCGCCTCAGGGGACAACTTAATCAAGGCCAAGGTTAGAACAACTCAGAACAACTTGAAGATCGCTGGTGGTGTTTTGCCCAAAGACTCGCAAATACACAATGCTGCCAAGAAACCAATCCGATCAACCAAGGGTGTTTCTATTGCAAAGCAAACGCAAGTTCGGAACATGCGATAATGACTCATAACATTTAAGAAGTGATTTGTTATCTTTAAATTCCATATTGTTGTTATCTATTTAATTGTTATTTCGTTTTACAAGAATATAACATCGCAATACTTAAACCAGCGTATTGTGTTGTTTTTTAACGAGGGTTGAAATTCACCATCAAAATGCACACAAATAAAACGGTCTTTCAGAAGTCAAATCAGTTGTTGGCTTATTGTCTCAGCAGGTGTGGGTGGGTGGAGAGGAACAGGACTGACACAGTCGCAATTCGCTGTGCAGGTTAAGTCAGCCTCAAAGTACAAACAAAAGGAAAGGATGCGTTCGTAACACACCAGTGCAAAGGAAAAGAGTTCAATACCCATATGGGCTCAAATATGCTATGTAATAACTTTTTGATATTTGCACAGTGGGAAATTTGGCATTCTCGAAGCTAATTGGTCAGTTGAACAAAGATCAAATTTCATTGGACAACGGAACTATTTTTTTCTCATTCCATTCATTCACAAATCCATGCCTCTCCCTTCAGATGTTTTACGTGCTACAAACTCACTTATTCGAGATTTTTAAGACAAGAAACATACTTTCATATCAACAATATGATTTCACGTTATTATTTTTTCATTTATTTCACATGATTTTCATTTCATTGAGAGTAAAAACAAAAACTACGTCCGCGTTTGTAAACAAACATGGCTGGCCATTTGACACCTGTCAAAGTAAATGACCTCGTTAAAGCGGACGGAGATCTGACTGACATGAAGAGTTATTCGTATAATTCAAACTCTGAACACACTTAATTTAATGTTTTTGTTGTCAAAACTGGGCCTACCCTTAGAATACAGTACCACAAACTTTTCAAACACGTGACAATACTCTATGGCGTAATTTGTAGTATTTTGTTGCCAGTCACACCGGCGAAACAATGCCCTGGGACGTCAGGGGTCATCGAGTGTGCATAAGCTCCTCCCAGTGATCTATCATCTCTACACGAAATGTCATTAAATACGCCAAGGGTTGTGGAGAGTTTTGAATATGTGTTTACTGAATATAGCCTGCGGCGGCGCATTTTATAGCAAGCGCTAGTTTACAAAAGCACTTTTATTTTTTATATATTTTTTATTTCGTTTTTCTCGTAATTCAAGTGGCTAAAAGGGTTATAAATGGGAACTAATATACATGTATTATTTTTTCGGTTAAATAAGTTTCAGTATTATGCAAAAGAATGTAGATCTAGTTTATTAGGGATATTATTTTGGCGCTGAACACATCCAAATATCGCTAGTGTTAGGGTAGGTTACCCCGAACTCTATCCTTAGCCCTTGGTTCCCCTTTACGATCAATCACCCCTTTTCGATCATTAGGGTTAGGTACCCGTTTAGTGGCTATTAGATTACCCCAATTCTGTCCTTAGCCCTTGGATCCCCTTTACGATCAATCATCCCTTCACGATCATTAGAGTTCGGTAAATCTACCCGTTTAGTTTCTCCTAATATTCTTCACACACAAAAATCGAGTAAAAGGAATGAAATGGTTTTGTGTCGAACACTTTGGCTACTGGAAACTGTCCTGGAACATTCACACAAGCCACTTTTACCGGCTACATTTTTTCATTACTGATTCAAAAGCGAACTCACCATTGTGTCGTCACTAGCCATGCACATGCCTCCCTCGTTCCTTACTATTATCCACATCATCCTTACAGTGTTCCCTACCACACTTTTCTGTCCCAAATCAACACGACGAATTATTAAATAACACGTCATTCATGCGTACTCGCGAGTTCGACGTCTGACGCCTTGATCCGTTTTCAGTTCGCGCCATATCGGATCATTCCTCGCCACTCGGTATATTGTAGATTACGGAATGGGACGAGTGTGCCAAATGGCATCGGGATCATTTGTAAGTGTCGATAGACTAAAGTCACGAGACACCATATAACGTCGTAGGCATGACTAGGTAAATTTGCACTTTGTTTCACAGTGCGGACGTAGCTCAGTCGGTTTGCTGTCGGGCTAACAATCCGAAGGTCGCGAGTTCGCTTCCGACGGATTCACACAAAAACTGGTTGCTTGTCTTTAAGACATGTGACCTTCCTCACGAGAAGTTATGGTACTGTATTCTACAGGTGATCTCAAAACTGCATATGGCTAGATTGAAGTTCCAAGATTCAGATTGTGATGTTGCCAGGAACTGTTTCTAGTGCGCCAAGATCAACACCACCAAGTCCGGGTTTGCGTCTGTCTTAGAGGACTTGCTTTTTTACGAATTTTTCGACCACCCAAATCCAAAAACCAGACTTTGTACAGACAGGTTTGCCTTTGTGAACGATGATGACACCGATAACTGCTAGTGAAAATGAAAACACAATGAAAAAGACTAAAGCTGACAAACTGACACAAATTAACTTAGTGCACAAATTTATACAGGTAAGAAAAACACGAAAAATAAGACTACTCACACTTTCAACGATGACATGAGAATAAAAACAAATTCATTTTGCAACAACATTTAGACTTTCCGAAAGACATCATAAAGATACACCATTTCGTAGAATTTTGTAACGTTGTGTGAAGAAATAAGAACGTGACACTTCTTTATACAATGTATACGTTTTTGTAACTGCGATGTAAGCAAAGTACGGCGCTGAGCGGTATGCAGGCTGACTGACGTCCGGGCACCATAAGACACAGGAAAGGTGCAACTAAACATTATTCTTTGCAAATTTATCATTTCAGCATGCACATCAGACGGTTCAGAATTCGAAATGTCAACTTTGAAGGAGAGCATAGAGTGTTGCCTTGGCGAAAAGATTACCAACATATATCTGGATGCGAAATCGATGCTGAACTCGGAGAGGTTTTGAAATCAAAACAAAAATAATTTAAAACACAAGAAAAGGAAAACTTACCCCAGCGAGCTGATCCTGTGTCCAATATTGAACTAAATGAACTCCGTGAATGCGGACAGCTTGGCACAAAGTCTCCAGATACCGTGTTAGTTTATCAACAGGTATTCGACCATGATGAATAATATCAAAATATCAACAAATTCCCGCATCTGTGTCCACTCCACAAGCGTGTTTGACATGTCTTCCTTAAATCCCACTTGTTTCCGATCAGTCACATTTGTCTCAAATAACACACGATTTTCATTAAACTTGTTGTCCAGAGTAAACTGTAACGCCGGTTCTCATGTCATTCGATCCTGGTTTCGGATGTCTCATATCTGGGTCAAGTCGGGTCATTCATTCCGACACTGTGACAGCAATCGTACTGCTCAAAGTTTACTTTCTTTTCGTAACTTTTCTCTAACAAACAAGACTTCTGTACATTCCGTCTATGTTGTTGTTATAGGTTTTGGCATTTTTTTCTAATAACACATAAAAAATTGGACAGGTTTTCCGTGTTTCCTCTTCTCAATGTGAAATGCATGTCTCTGCCGATGCACGACGGGGGCTGTCTGTCAGTGACGAGATCTGGTTGTCAAAACAAGCCTTGATTAAAAAACCTGATGAACCTTTTTGGAAACTTGTCTTCTTTATCAATGCTAGATACTGTACGCTGTGTAAATCGGACAGAAATACAACTGAAATAATGTGATCTTGACAGTTCTTTAACAGAACTATATTTTTCATGCGTAACAACACGTTAATATTCGTAATGCGATTGGAGAGAATGGACAGTGTTTTTACACGCGGATTGATACAAACAGCTGATTTTTGATCGGCGACAGGATTTTTCCCCCTTGGTTTTGGTTTTGGTTTGTTGTTTAACGCCGCACTCAGCAATATTCCAGCTATATGACGGCGGTCTGTAAATAATCGAGTCTGGACCAGACAATCCAGTGATTGATATCATGAGCATATCGATGCACGCAATTGGGATCGATGACCTGCATCAACCAAGTGAGCCTGAAACGTCTTTAATATTATAACGGGTAATAAATAGAATAACCCTCTGGGTACGAGTGATTACGGAAATTATGTCACTCGTAAAATTAATGTTGTAAGTTCCTCGCTAAAGCTCTGTGTCTGAGTAGGGTATTCATGTTAAACTGCGGCATTGTATCTCAGTGGGCTAGTACTATGAAATCAGCACTAGTCCGCACGAGTATGAGCAGACAAACAAACACACATACACACACACACACGCACGCACACAAACACACTTACGCACGCACGCGCACACATGTACGAACGCACGCGCACACATGTTTGTCGCTGTATAAGTACAATAATCTTTACATTAAACCCAATTTTACCTCACCTCAACTTCATTCTACACCATACACGTGGTCGTGGATTTCACCAAAGTAAAGCCGCATCCTTTCAGGCTTTCCTTCTACATCAAGTTGACACGCCTTATACAAATGAAATACTGTTGAAAACGGCGTTAACCCCCTGGATGCAGAGTTATAATTTTGACGCACATGCTTATATGATTGTGGCATCGCGGGGGTTTAACCCATCTCACTTACTCACTAGCTGTAAAAAGGTTTTGCGTAATGAGTATCAAAGAAAGGGTATTCTGCACCCATTTGTCATACACCCTGTTTTGCTGACAGGTTCAATAGAGTGGTGCTGGGTTGACATACTGTGGCCACTCATTGTTACAATGGAACATCCTTGACAGGATTAAACTTATCATGTTATGGTATAGAAGGTTAGGCTTGAATATTGTCGGGAGCAAAGAGATCAAGACAACTAACTGAAATAATTCATTCGCCTTGGGGTTAAATATACTTCAGAAGCAAGATAATGTTTCATTGCTCAATAATAACGTTTTTAGAGATGATCGAAACTGTAGTAAAGGGAAAGACTATAAAATCTTCCCTTGAGTGGATTAAATTTACTGTACGGTATCTAGATTTAGAAATCATCAATGTGATAAATATCAACACTGTTAGATAAATAACAGAATGTACTCAAAATAAAAGGTTACTCTTATCATACGTCTCCCCACCCCCCTCTCTCTCTCTCTATCTGCGTCTCTCTCTTTCTCTCTATCTATCTCTCACTCGCTATCTGTCTCTGTCTCTCTCGTAGCGCGAAATCTTCACCAATAGAGGGTTATCGCCCTTTGAGACATATCGCCCAATCCAATGACGTCATAGACAGGAACAATAGGATGACGTCATAGAATGGTTCCATGACGACATACCTGGTTTGCCAGCCAGTCGACAGCACGACATCGTAGCAATCAGACGTACATTTCTTGCTTCCTGGAAATTTCAGAGTTGTTTGCAGTCGAGTGTACCCTTTTACCAGTGCAACTCTAACCGAAGTGTATAAGGTGAGAACACTTTATTTAGAATTTTCCAAAGAACAGAAATGTCTTGTTGGAAAGGTGTGGTTTTGAAGGTTATTGAACAGTGTAAACATATCTGTAGAACACTACATTATGTCTCAGACAACAGCCTTCTTTAATGTTCCTGTAACTATCATACCCTCGCAGCCGCGATTCAAATGTTAGTCTTTAGTTTCACATTCAGATTTCATTTTCTCCAGATGAGTCTGCATCCTCAAGTGCGGTCGAGACGCCGGAAAATTCTCTCGCCCATTCTTGAAACGAACGAGGGCGAAATAATCCCAATCAGACTAACACCCACAGAAAAAGAACATTTACTTGGTAAGTGTTGAATATACTCCAAGAACGCATTGTCTTTTGCGTCGTCGTCATTAATTTAATTGGAATATCAGAAGAAAATCACTTGATGTGTGGTGGAGTTAATAATACACTGCATTAAAACAAACATAAATAATCCATAAATATACACAGTCCAGCCTTCGGTCCCTCGGCCTTCATCAGGCACACTCTGTTGGTTTCCACTACACAGTGGAAGGTCCAAAACATGTAATTGATGAAGGTCGGGAGGCCGGAAGCATGACTGTACATATTTAGGTATGTATTTGAATTCAGCGATGGGAATAAATACAAAAGAAGATTTATCAATAATCCAGTCAATGTAAAATCTAGTATATTGTAATCCAGATAAACTGTAAATGCGTTCAACCCAACAATGTCACAGTTGTCAACAATGTCAACAAGTTGGTCTCGAAATATATATGTATATAATCTTTTCTTTTATGTTCGCAGTTCAGTATATGGACTTAAAGTCCCAAGTTGGAGATTTGGAGGAAAGGTAAACACTGTGAACTCTCATATACCTTTTATCGTTATTATTTTTTTTAAAAGAGATCTCCGAGTTTATATTTATCCTTGATAAAATACGAGTTACCACATCCTTATATCCATCCAGGAACAATGGAAGATAATTATATCTATGTTTTAATGGTATTGATAACTAAGCATTGCTCAACTCTGATTGAATATACATGTATGTATCTTCTAATCGTAAACATATTTCTTCTTCAGCCTCCTCGATCATCTCTTCAGTGAGAACAAGAAACTCCTAGAAGAGAATGAGCGACAGAGGCGAGAAGTGAGCCATGAGAGAGAGTTGCGGCTGAAGGCCGAGGCTGAAAGACAACAGTTCCGACTAGACTATTTTAACTATAAACTCAGTTTCACAATGGAGCAGGCTGAGCTCCGGGAAGTGAAGAAAACACTGGAGGAGCTGGCGGGAATGTGGGAGACGGAGAAGAAGGCGGAGGAGGAACAGAGGAAGAAGCTGGAGGAAGAGCTGAAGCAGCTGAAGTCACACCATCAGCTTGCTGTGCGTGAACTGGCTGCCCTCCAGCACCACACTGCTCCTCTGACCTGTCAGACTCCCGGCAAGACACAGCCCAGTCTTCCCTCCGTGGCTCCTCCAGGTAAGCCGAAGAAGGCACACAGACCCTACACGGGACGATCTAAGAACAAAGGTCTAAACAATGCCTCATCTGCCAAGTCGGACCTCCTCGCTTCAGGGGACAACTTAATCAAGGTCAAGGTTATAACAACCCAGAACAACTTAAAGATCGCTGGTGGTGTTTTGCCCAAAGACTCGCAAATTCACAATGCTGCCAAGAAACCAATCCGATCAACCAAGGGTGTTTCTATTGCAAAGCAACCGCAAGTTCGGAACATGCGATAATGACTCATAACATTTAAGAAGTGATTTGTTATTTTTAAATTCCATATTGTTGTTATCTCTTTAATTGTTATTTCGTTTTACAAGAATATAACATCGCAATACTTAAACTAGCGTATTGTGTTGTTTTATTTCACGAGGGTTGAAATCGCCATGGAAATGTACATAAAAAACGGTCTTTCAGAAGTCAAGATTACTTGTTGGATTATTGTCTCGGGGGTGTGGGTGGGTGGAGAGGGATAGGACTGACACAGACACCTTAACCGCCGCAATTCGCTGTGCAAGTTAAGTCAGCGCTAACGTACAAAGGTTTGGATGCATTCGTAACACACCAGTGTAGAGGAAAAGAGTATATCTCGGATTTGTTATATTTTTTGTTGATTCATGCTGTATTGCTTATGTAGTATACACGATTGCCTCCGTTGCCTGGAGGATAGAGCTTCTGACCCAGTCGGTGGTTCGATGGCCGGCCACGCCATACTATAAGAAGTTAATAGATGGTATTTATTGTTACCCTGCCCGGCGCTCGGCATTAACGGGCTAAACAAGGACTGGTCGGCTAAGAGGTCAGTACACTGTGTCTGAGTGGGGTATTAATGTTAAACTGCGACATGGTATCTCAGTGGGCTAGCACTATGAAATCAGCATTAGTCCGGACTAGTAGGATCAGACACACACGCGCACGCACACATGCACACACGTACGCACCCCCACACACGAAGGCACGCGCGCACATGTACGTCGCTGTATAAGTACAATAATCTTAACATTAAACCAAATTTTCCCTCACCTCAACTCCATGCTACACATTACACGTGGTCGTGGATTTCACCAAAGTGAAGCCGCATCACTTCAGGCTTTCCTTCTACATCAAGTTGACACGCCCTTATACAACTGAAATACTGTTGAAAGCGGCGTTAACCCCCTGGATGCAGAGTTATAATTTTGACGCACATGCTTATGTGATTGTGGCATCGGGGGGTTTAACCCATCTCACTTACTCACTAGCTATAAAAAGGTTTGGTGTAATGAGTATCAAAGAAAGGGTATTCTGCAAGCATTTGTCATCCACCCCGCTTTGCTGACAGGTTCAATAAAGTGGTGCCTAGGTTGACATACTGTGGCCACTCATTGTTACAATGGAACATCCTTGACAGGATTAAACTTGTCATGTTATGGTATAGAAGGTTAGGCTTGAATATTGTCCTGAGCAAAGAGATCAAGACAACTAACTGAAATAATTCATTCGCCTTGGGGTTAAATATACTTCAGAAGCAAGATAATGTGTCATTGCTCAATAATAACGTTTTTAGAGATGATCGAAACAGTAGTAAAGGGATGGACTATAAAATCTTCCCTTGAGTGGATTAAATTTACTGTACGGTATCTAGATTTAGAAATCATCAATGTGATAAATATCAACACTGTTAGATAAATAACAGAATGTACTCAAAATAAAAGGTTACTCTTATCATACGTCCCCCCCCCCCCCCCCCCCCCCCTCCCTCTCTCTCTCTCTGTCTCTCTCTTTCTCTCTATCTATCTCTCACTCGCTATCTGTCTCTGTCTCTCTCGTAGCGCGAAATCTTCAACAATAGAGGGTTATCGCCCTTTGAGACATATCGCCCAATCCAATGACGTCATAGACAGGAACAATAGGATGACGTCATAGAATGGTTCCATGACGACATACCTGGTTTGCCAGCCAGTCGACAGCACGACATCGTAGCAATCAGACGTACATTTCTTGCTTCCTGGAAATTTCAGAGTTGTTTGCAGTCGAGTGTACCCTTTTACCAGTGCAACTCTAACCGAAGTGTATAAGGTGAGAACACTTTATTTAGAATTTTCCAAAGAACAGAAATGTCTTGTTGGAAAGGTGTGGTTTTGAAGGTTATTGAACAGTGTAAACATATCTGTAGAACACTACATTATGTCTCAGACAACAGCCTTCTTTAATGTTCCTGTAACTATCATACCCTCGCAGCCACGATTCAAATGTTAGTCTTTAGTTTCACATTCAGATTTCATTTTCTCCAGATGAGTCTGCATCCTCAAGTGCGGTCGAGACGACGGAAGATTCTCTCGCCCATTCTTGAAACGAACGAGGGCGAAATAATCCCAATCAGACTAACACCCACAGAAAAAGAACATTTACTTGGTAAGTGTTGAATATACTCCAAGAACGCATTGTCTTTTGCGTCGTCGTCATTAATTTAATTGGAATATCAGAAGAAAATCACTTGATGTGTGGTGAAGTTAATAATACACTGCATTAAAACAAACATAAATAATCCATAAATATACACAGTCCAGCCTTCGGTCCCTCGGCCTTCATCAGGCACACTCTGTTGGTTTCCACTACACAGTGGAAGGTCCAAAACATGTAATTGATGAAGGTCGGGAGGCCGGAAGCATGACTGTACATATTTATGTATGTATTTGAATTCAGCGATGGGAATATATACAAAAGAAGATTTATCAATAATCCAGTCAATGTAAAATCTAGTATATTGTAATCCAGATAAACTGTAAATGCGTTCAACCCAACAATGTCACAGTTGTCAACAATGTCAACAAGTTGGTCTCGAAATATATATATGTATATAATCTTTTCTTTTATGTTCGCAGTTCAGTATATGGACTTAAAGTCTCAAGTTGGAGATTTGGAGGAAAGGTAAACACTGTGAACTCTCATATACCTTTTAGCGTTATTATTTATTTTAAAAGAGATCTCCGAGTTTATATTTATCCTTGATAAAATATGAGTTACCACATCCTTATATCCATCCAGGAACAATGGAAGATAATTATATCTATGTTTTAATGGTATTGATAACTAAGCATTGCTCAACTTTGATTGAATATACATGTATGTATCTTCTAATCGTAAACATATTTCTTCTTCAGCCTCCTCGATCATCTCTTCAGTGAGAACAAGAAACTCCTAGAAGAGAATGAGCGACAGAGGCGAGAAGTGAGCCATGAGAGAGAGTTGCGGCTGAAGGCCGAGGCTGAAAGACAACAGTTCCGACTAGACTATTATAACTATAAACTCAGTTTCACAATGGAGCAGGCTGAGCTCCGGGAAGTGAAGAAAACACTGGAGGAGCTGGCGGGAATGTGGGAGACGGAGAAGAAGGCGGAGGAGGAACAGAGGAAGAAGCTGGAGGAAGAGCTGAAGCAGCTGAAGTCACACCATCAGCTTGCTGTGCATGAACTGGCTGCCCTCCAGCGCCACACTGCTCCTTTGACCTGTCAGACTCCCGGCAAGACACAGCCAAGTCTTCCCTCCGTGGCTCCTCCAGTTCAGCCGAAGAAAGCACACAGACCCTACACGGGACGATCTAAGAACAAAGGTCTAAACAATGCCTCATCTGTCAAGTCGGACCTTCTCGCCTCAGGGGACAACTTAATCAAGGTCAAGGTTATAACAACCCGGAACAACTTAAAGATCGCTTGTGGAGTTTTACCCAAAGACTCGCAATTTCACAATGCTGCCAAGAAACCAATCCGATCAAGCAAGGGTGTTTCTATTGCAAAGCAAACGCAAGTTCGGAAGATGCGATAATGACTCATAATATTTAAGAAGTGATTTGTTATTATTTTGATTTCACAATGTTGTTAATTATTTGGTTTTTCGTTTTACAAGAATATAACATCGCAATTGTGGCAATACTTAAAAGAACGTCTTGTGTTTTTTGTCAAGCGAGCTGCCAATTTACCATGGAAAACTGCAGTAAATAAACGGCTCCCTCCTTCGGCGCACCAATTTTTTATACACACAAAATTTTGTTAATGCAAGCATTTGGATGGAATACACCAGTGCAGAGGAAAAAGGTATATCGCGATTTTTTATATAATTTGCTTAGCGTGATGTTGGCCTACTTATTCCAGTCTAGATGATACCTGGTGCACAGGTGGCCCAATTAAGGCGCCGCACTTAGCTGTGCAGAGTTGCGTCCCTTGGGCATGACAGAATTAGTGGGTTCGACTCCCAGTTCGCCCCGATTATGATCTACACTTGTCAGGTTTCATCCCAGATTAATCTGGGTACACCGTGATATAACTGAAATACGGTCAAACAACGTTTAAATCCAACTCACTCACTCACTCACTCACTCACTCACAACATCATACCCGTGCTCGTTGGTTTCACCAAAACAAAGCAGTACGTCGGACCTGCTTCACTTCTGGCTTTCCTACAATATCAATCTGACACACCGTGATATAACTGAAATACGGTCAATTAACGTTTAAATCCAACTCACTCACTCACTCACTCACAACATCATACCCGTGGTCGTTGGTTTCACCAAAACAAAGCGGTACGTCGGACCTGCTTCACTTCCGGCTTTCCTACAATATCAATCTGACACACCGTGATATAACTGAAATACGGTCAATTAACGTTTAAATCCAACTCACTCACTCACTCACTCACTCACAACATCATACCCGTGGTCGTTGGTTTCACCAAAACAAAGCGGTACGTCGGACCTGCTTCACTTCCGGCTTTCCTACAATATCAATCCGACACACCGTGATATATCTGATATCACTCTTACATAGCGGCGTTAAACTCATCTCGCCCACCCACTATAGAAAAGGGTTTGGTATTATGAATATTAAAGAAACAGTGTTCTACACCATTTGCCATACAAACCGTTTTCCAACAGGTTAAATATGGTAGAGGCTGCGTTTACAGGCTTGGTCTACCAATTGTTTCAGTAGAACGTCCGACGGGGTTAAATTATCGGGCGGATTTTTTTCAATAATTGAAATACGGATCCACCGAACCTGACAATCGGAAATGTTTTCTTGGGGGGGGACTTTTTATATTAACGCCTAGCATGATAATCACACCTTTAAAAACTCCCAAATTGTGTTACTGTCTTACCCAGACTAAATATACCTGCTCAGTGACCCCATGAATGGCTCCTCTAAAACGAAGACGGTACTCCAAGCATACAATGCGGCTTTGTTCCAGTGTAAAGGCTAAAAACATTTCTATCACATTGCTCAAGAATGCCAAATTAAAAAAGGGAATTTGAAATATATTTTTCCCATCATACCGATAGATTATTTTACAAACCATTTTTAAGTATATACTCCGAAACGTTGTGTCCTCATAATAAAGAAGTTGACATTCACATATTCTCTTCCTCCCTTGAAACCAATTTTGTTTTGAGTGATTAGTGGAAGTTTGTTGCTTAACGTCTTACTCGGAAATTGATATTCCAGCTTTATGACGACAGTCTGTAAATTATTCGAATCTGGACCAGACAAACCAGTGATTGATATCATGGACACGCCGATCAACTCAATTGGGATACGATGCCATATGTATCAACCAAGTCAGTGATCCTTACAATCAACCCTATCCATTTCTTCGCCTCCTATGACAAGACTAGGTTGCGTACCTGGAATTTTAAGAAACTGTATACGGGTCCCTCTTCAGCACGTACACTTATGTTCTAATCAAGTTTCGAAATATGTTCCTCTATAAAATAGCAATACTGTAGATAACAGGATCACAGTAACCTAATTATGATTTTTAGCTTCTTAGTATAAGTTAATAAGTCAAAAATGGTTGTCGGCATTTTGGATGACCATCCCCATTTCCATGTATATTTTCATTAGGACCCTCCCCGAAAAGACAAAATGCATGACACTTTATAGTGTATCATCAAATGTCCATTTGGTCATGACCCTCTCAAAATAAGTGTACTGCTTTTTAGAACCTTCTCCTAGAGATTGTCAAAGTTCCCTCTGACCAACTTGTGTGGTGATCAAATTGTCCATACCCATGTGGTTGACAAACGGGGCGCAAGCACATGGGGAAACACAGCTAGTCCCTGACAGACTCCTAAATTAGAACCATAAACATATTCGTATTCCACTCTCACCCCCCTCTCAGTCCCAGGATGACTATATTCAGCTTATGGTTTCTTAATACTAGGGCTGGGACGAGTCCAAATTGACTACCCGGTACCCACCCCGCTATTACCCGACCCTACCTGGGTACCCGCTACAGGTCTCAAGAGTTTGGTGCAAATTGTCCGATAGGAAATAGTTTGAGCGTAGCCCGGGGTAAAATGTATTCAAATATATGTATAAAACGATCTGGTCATGCATACACTGAAGTTGACTGAAGTGTTATTTTTATTCAAACCTATAAAGGTCAGAAGCAATGGTGCTTAGTCAGAAAGAAATGCGAACATTAGTGACTTGTTCTGTAACCATATAGTTCTAAATATTAAACAATATATCACATGACTAACCACGGGTCTGGGTAGTCCTGTGGGTACCCGGGTCCTACTCAGTACCCGAGTTACCCGTCCCAGCCCGACTTAATACTCCTGAGTTCCTTCATGAAAATATGGTGTTGTGAACGCTCCACGCAACGCAATGTTTATTAGACTGTGCAGGGAGTTTGTTAAAGGGGGGTAACTGCAAAGCGAAGTTACATGGAACTTCCTGTTTATTGGCGCACTTTTCGAAAGGCAGGATATCATCGACATGTGTATTTTGGTTTGATTTGACTGTCATTGAAGATACAGATTCAATCATTATGGATTCTGATGTTGAAAATACGGAGAGGCAGTTTGATGGCATCACTATCAGTGATAAGAGACCATTCAAAGGTGTGCAACACTGGCAATATGTGGCGTCACTCTGGCAAAGTTTGGGTGGGGTTTGAAACATTGTAGGATTTCATTTTCTGTACATACTTTTGATATGTCTAAGAAAAAAATATTGTTGTGGTCCATATCAGTCATTCGATGGTATTTATCATGAAGCTGTAAAATCCCTATGAATTCAGATAACGATGATAACTTTATACGATATATCCAGCTAGGCTAGATATCAGGCCTCTAAAGACCGTGAACGGTGGAATTAGTTTCCCTGGGAAACCAACTGGCAGGCACACTGCCCCTGTCAGGACTTTCATCTGATAAGGTCTCTTACTGTCCAACAAATGACCATGCCGATACTCTGCTATGTACCAGATGTTCAATAGTCAAAACAGGATTAGTCCCATTCGCTGTCTGGGCTGCGTGTAGAGGGGGCAAGGGCCCTGAGCTAATGATGAGCCTAACCAGCCTGACTGTGCCAGGATCACCAAAACCCTCTTTGCTGCGTTTTATATTTTAATCTGTACATAATAATTTTTTAAAAAATAAAACAGGCTGATGAAATCATATTCATGTAAAGCATAATTATATACAATTGCTATTTAGTGTGAAGATCCTGGGTAGAATAGATCTTCAGCAACCCATCCTTGCTGTAAAAGGCGACTATATGCTTGTCATAAGAGACGACTAACGGGATCGAGGGGCCAGGCTCGCTGACTTGGTTGATGCATGTCATCGATCTCAGACTCAATTATTTACAGACAGCTGTCATATAGCTGTAATAATGCTGAGTGTGGCGTTAAACAACCAACAAACATAATCTTACATGTTGAACATTACACAATCTCATTAAACATGTTAAAATCAGATCTTAGTTCTCGCTATCGCAGTTTTTCCATACATGAAAGTTGATTTATTATCTCAAATTTCGAGTTATGACAGATGTGTATTTATGTTTATGTATATTTATCACAACAGAAGTGGTATAAGTAGCAAATCTAGTGTGGAAGTAGTTATTTGCAATGACAAATGTATATTGTCGGAATCCTAGATGCCATTTTGAGACTGTTCATTATAATGCTGACATACCAATATTTATTAACTGGTACTATTGTATCCTTATTTCCACAGACGTCAAGCTGGAATAACAAACAATTTTAATTTATTGTAGAAGTAGTACTTTTTCTTTGAAGAATGTTCATTGTAGTTTTGCTGAATATTTCCAGCAACTTGCAAATATTTATATTTATGTATGATTATTCCTGGAGGACATGCACATACTACTGTACAACCAACATTTATTGTGTAGAAATAAGTGTTTGCTTTCAGCAGTGGTAATTAATATTGCTGTTTTCATGCTGAATACCTTGGCACAATTGATCATTCGTATAAAAAACCCACCCTGAACAGCAAGCATAATACATTTTTCGTACTTGTTAAACTTTCCCCTGCTATCTATAATTATATAGAATTATGTGTAAATACATATTGTCTGTTGGTGATTGACTACATGATACTGACTCGGTGACATAGGGACATGTATATAGTGTATAAAGTGTATTGTGAGTTTTTCCTTGTTTACCATACCAAAGAGGCAAGTAGACTAGAGAAACAGACTTTCACAAGTCTCTAAAGCAACTATCAATCTTTTAAATAATAATTTCTAGATTATATAAATAATGATATGTTGTCCTATAAAAGACTTGCATCCTCAGACTGACCGCTTATCTAGACTTGCCTATTATAAGGACAGAACGACTTTACACCCATGGACTTATTCAATACAAGGAGCAAGGCTAACAGCAGACAGTGGGGAGATGCTTGAGATTGGGAGACAGGCAGCAGAAGCAAGCTCCCACTGTGAATAAACAAAGAGGTCATTCCAGCCATCATAGTCCCGTCGCTCTTATCAGTAGATTCCAAATCTCATGTCCGCCTGTCACTTACATTTTGATAAACTATTAGCAACCATTTTTTTATGCTCATGATATCAATCCCTGGATTGTCTGGTCCAGACTCCATAATTTACAGACCACTAGAATATTGCTGAGTGCACCGTTAAACAAAAAACGATGTAAATTAAACATGTTAAATGTTCTCCATCACATCCACAGAAGTTCAGAATTTGCGGCATGAATCCCCTACATCCATTAAACCACCGAGGAAAGACAGCCACCCCTCGAGTTCCGATGGTGACCACCAGGTGGATGAGCAGGTCATGTTCAACAAACTGGTCACCAGGGCCAAGAAGCTGGCTTCTCACGGCCAGGTCGAGAGAGCCCTGGAGTTCAACAAGCGGGCCCTGAGGATTCACTACACAGAGAAGTTGGCAAAACGGATCAAGAAAATGGAGGTAGTGATTGGATTTATGTGGACCTGCTCATGGGCTATTTGGCACCATGTCTGCAGTTCATGTCAGTATAATTTCCAAATTTGGATTTCCCAAATGATGAAAAGTAATAATGGTATCAGGCCTATTTCTCCTTTACCGTGACCCTCCCCTGATCCTATTCCCCCCAGGAAGCTGGCTTCTCATTCGTACAACATAACATGGTTTAATTAGAATAACAAATAAATTATCAGATGACAGATGACATTTGGGGGAGGGGGGGGACAGATGACATTTGGGGGAGGGGGGGGACAGATGACATTGGGGTGGGGATAGACAGATGACATTGGGGTGGGGGGACAGATGACATTGGGGTGGGGGGAGACTGATGACATTGGGGTGGGGGGGAGACAGATGACACGGGGGGGGAGACAGATAACATGGGGGTGGGGGGAGACAGATGACATTGGGGTGGGGGGACAGATGACATTGGGGTGGGGGGAGACTGATGACATTGGGGTGGGGGGGGAGACAGATGACATGGGGTGGGGGGAGACAGATGACATGGGGGTGGGGGGAGACAGATGACATGGGGGTGGGGGGAGACAGATGACATGGGGGTGGGGGGAGACAGATGACATGGGGGTGGGGGGAGACAGATGACATTGGGGTGGGGGGAGACAGATGACATTGGGGTGGGGGGAGACAGATGACATAGGGGTGGGGGGAGACAGATGACATTGGGGTGGGGGGAGACAGATGACATTGGGGTGGAGATAGACAGATGACATTGGTGTGGGGGGGAGACATATGACATAGGGGTTGGGGGAGACAGATGACATTTGGAGGGGGGGACAGATGACATTGGGGTGGGGATAGACAGATGACATTGGGGTGGGGGGAGACAGATGACATTGTGGTGGGGTGTGAGGCCTAGACTCAGTAATATCTAATGTCAGAGCTACAGTTAAGCTGCATATTTGCGTAAAATACCACCCCACCCCCCCACCCCCAAACTATTCAAAACCTAATTACCTTCAGTTAATTTGCGTACAGAAACACATGCATTAAATGAAAAACTCAATTGTTTGAAAACAGAACGTATAAATACCCATCCAAAGAAGCATTTTCAGCATGCGTACATGGGAGCTAATTTCCGAAACACAATTACGAGCTAATTTACTTTCCGAGTAAAGCCTATATTTAGAACTTTCTTCTTTCTTTTTTTAAATCTCAAAATGCTTACTCATTTTGGGAAAAACCCAAGATGCCCAATAGAGTGATGAATAGATGAGTTAAAAAATATTGGTTACCCAATGAAAAATGAAATAACACAATTAAAAAAAAACCTTCGAGTGAAAACTCAATTGCTCAAAATGTTATCTGGAGCTCTGAATGTTATGGCTTTGTAAGCTTGTATTTCACTGACAAATTACCGATTTTCTTCCAAATTGACTGCCAAGGACACTTAGTTTAATTCCCATGCATGTTGATTTCCAGGCCTACCTGACCCAGTATGGTGGGGGGAGCTCGGAGGAGGATGACGGCACCATGGAACATCTTGGCGAGGGTTTCTACCTGTACAGGGAGTTCTATGAGAGAATCTACATGCATCAGAAGGAAGGCCTGCTGTGGTTCTGGGACCTCTTCAGGAAGAAGAAGGGCGGCATTCTGGGAGATGACATGGGGTAAACAAATTCATATTCAAAACTTATGGGAGTGGGATTCTTGAGCCCCAAATAAATTATTATGGTTATTTTTTTCATATTATACATTTATATACTGCACTCATCTCTGCTCAAATTCAGTTTATATGTTTGTTCCCAGATCAGCAAGATCAGTGGATCTGTATGAATTCCATTTATTATTTTCAACTCCCTGGGGAGTATTCAATCCAAGCTGCCTAAAGACACCAGATGGATTTTATGTCCACCTCCCTTATTGACATATTTGAACTAAGTCACTATGGTGACACCACAAGTTTTCACACTTGTGTTTTAGGTGCATTTACATGTACATGTTGCCACCATGGGGGTGAAGTGGGTTCTTTTGAGTTAACAATGTGAAAGCATAGCTCCAGATAACTTTTTGAGCAATTGAGTTATAACCCAAAGATTTCTATTTTAATTGGGTTATTACATTTTTCATTGGGTAACCAATATTTTTTCACTCATCTATTCATCACTTTTAATTGTGTTTTTTCGCAAAATGAGTAAGCATTTTGAGATTTAAAAAAAAATTAAACAATCCTAAATATTGGCTTGACTCAGAAAGTAAATGAGCTCGTAATTGTGTTTCGGAAATTAGCTCAGTTGTACGCATGCTGTTGTACGCAAAAAATTCATTGGGTATTTACGCGTTCTGTTTTCAAACAATTGAGTTTTCCATTTAATGCATGTGTTGGTGAACGCAAGGTTATAGAAAGTAATTGAGTTTTGAATAGTTTTGGGGGGTATTTTTACACAAATACACAGCTTATCTGTAGCTCAGTGAAAGTGTTGTATTACTTGTGTTTCAGGAAACCCAGCCTAGTACGAGCACCTTATGGTGCCACTTTGGCAAATGTTTGGTAGCATAATTCTTTTATCAACATGTTCAATGTTTCTTCTTATTTTAGTTATTTGTTTATGTTTTTGAAAGTTCGAGTTTTTTCTTGTTACTTCGATTATATATTTTCTATTCGGTTATTTTCTCGTTACTTCAAATATTATCTCATAATTTCTATTATTTTCTCATTATCTGATTATTTCAAGTTTATTTTAAAAAAACCTCAATATTTCAGAAAGTTTTCGCTGCTTTCGATTATTTTTCGTTAGAGTTTTTTCTCGTTATTTTGATTATTTTCTAGTAATTTCTGTTGCTTTCTCGTTACTTCAAGTTTATTTAAGAAACTAGAATTTTATGCTTATCCTGCATTACTCCTTATTGCATTCACTGCTTACCTTATGACAACAATTTGCTGCTGCGATGGTCTTTGGTGAAGAAATAAAGATGTTTCTATATTCCACTCCTGCTTTTTGTATAGATCATCGCCGCTGGACATCTCTCAGCAGGGCTCTTCAAATTGGATATTTTTAGACCTTTCGTTTGGCTATTATTCTAAATTTATATACGATTGGTGATGTATTCTTTTCATTTTACATCACTGATTTGTGTATTATTATGTGGGTGATTTTGGTGTGAAAAGACTGTCACGTGGCTCGTTGTTTTGAATTTGTTACAATTGTTTACTTGCAAGGGTAGTGAAATTGTTCACAATTCTTAGCTACTTATATTTAACATATACATGTTTTTAAATACTAGAAGCTTTGGCGTTACATAGAGTTTGCATCTGAGTTCAAGCGCCTGCTCCTATGTCAACCTTGGTCTTCTAGCTCTCAGTTCAATGAACAGATCTCAGACACACACGGCTGTTAATTACCTTTATGGCCCTTTCCAATGTTGGCCCTGGTTAGTCCTTCTCTCACTCAACACCACTGACAGTTCATGTCAAATCCCCGCCATCCATAAACACGCTGCTTCCTTTCCTTATTTTTCCCATCTCTACCTCAGCTTCCGCTCACGCATGCGTACACGTAGTCAAGTTCAGAGGTCACTTCCAGTACACTCGAATGTAAATATACTACACAATGTGGTTAGGACTGACATGTTATCACAGCAAAGTTTCCAACTTATGCCAGGGATGAGACCGCGCACAAGGTTCTAGAACACGACTCTCAAGTCTATCCCAGCTGGTTGGCAGGTTGGGCAATTTCAATCCAAGACTCTATTCTCTCAAGGAAGGTCAAGACCAGGATTCTTTTTGTGGAAGAGGACATGGCAGAGGTAAACCTCAGGGCTCTTATCACTCCCGCCATGTAAATACCTGGGGAAGTGATACGAGGGGTACATACACTGAAGTGTTGGACAGTCACGACTGGGAACTGCCCCTAGTCATCCCAATTGTTGACACCCCAGTGGGCGGGAGACTGAATCTGTTCTGGAAGAACTGGACCATTCTCAAGGATGACTTTGTACTCAACATAATACGTCATGGCTACCGTTTCACACACAAGCATATCAGTTACTGCGTCAGAGGTTCAGGCAACCAAACATCGACCTGTTTGCAGCTTGCAAAACCACCAACTTATGACGTATGTCTCCCTGTTACCGGATCAGCAGGCTTGGGCGGTGAATGCATTCAGCTTCCTTTAGGAAGGCCTAAAAGCGTAAGGTTTTCCACCACCTGTTATACTTCCCAAGGTGATACAAAAGATCAAGGAGACAAGGAATCTTGCTCCGACTTTGGTCGCGCCCTGGTGGCCGACGAGAGGGCGGTTTGTCGAGCTCAGAAGAAGATCCACTCCCCCTCCCACAGTGGTCCAACCTACTCATCCGCCCTCACAACAAACTGCCTCACCCTCAAGGTTTACGAGGGCCCCCCCTTTGAGCCCCTCGACGCATCCTTTTTTCATGACCTCACCAAGAAAACAATATTTCTCGTGGCATTAGCCATGGCAACATGGGTGAGCAAGCTACATGCTGGTCGACATCACCCTGGTCCTATATGGGCATGGTACGCACGGAGCGTATCGGGTTGTGCTTGGTTTATATAGCACCCAATCGTTCATTCACTATCACACCAATATCAATGATTGTGGGTGCTGAAGATAAGGGTGAACTGCACTTGTGCCCAGTACGAGCACTTCGAGGTTTCATCCGCCATTCCAAAACTAGACGTGGTTTGAGGAAACGGTTATTCATACCCGTATCTCCTACGTCCACGACAGAAGTTAGACGCAACACCATATGGTTACGCGCAGTCATCCTTCAGGCTTATGAGATCACCAAACGTGATCCTCCGAGAGCAAATAATCCTCCCGAGATCAGGGTGTTATCCTCTACCATGGCGTTACATAGTAACTGTTCTACTAAATCGATCATGGAAAGATGTTTTTGGAGGTCCAACACAGTTTTCGCCAGTCATTGTCTTCATGATGGGGCTCTTGAAGCAGTCGAGGGCATGCAAAGTTTTGGTCCTCTGGTAGTAGCCCAGCAGGTAACCAACCCTTGACGCAAATAATGAACTCGTCCTATACGGAGCCAGTCTACTTCCCGCACAAGTCACTGAGACACAGCCAGTGGAAGAAATTAAGCTTTTTTATCAGGCTTTGGCCCGGTGACATAGTGGGTAAAGATTTTTATCTGTGAAGCTAGTATTCTTTATTACCAAATATGTTTAGGGTCTTACCCTTTAATTCCTATAATCCTTTTGTATTAACCCTACCGTTATGATGTTTTTCTGAGCTTTTTCCGCCTCACGTATTATTGACAAACATGTGTTGTTGTTTTGGGGTGTGAATTATTGAGTTTTTTTACTTCTGAAGGTTACCCACCTCCAAACTGTCATTATTACAGATGCATTAAGGAGTAATGCAGGATAAGAAAAAATTTAGTGAAATTTAAATAATTTTTACATTTGTATACTTATCCTGCATTACTAAGTTTAAGGACACATCTGTCGCAGACTTGCCTTCCCACTTTGGATTCAAGTTTGTTTTTAAGCTTGGGCGACAGGCAGTGATGTAAGGAAGGTGACATGTCATTAAGGTCACATGACAGCATGATGGTCCATGCAAAAAGCAGGAGTAGAATGTGAAACACCTTTATTTCTTCACTCAAGACCATCACCGAGCGCTGTCTTTTTGTTGTCGTAAGTTAAGCAGTGAATGCATTAAGGGGTTGTGCAGGATATGTATACAAATGTAAAAAATATTTAGATTTTACTAAAATTTCGAGTTTTTTCTTGATGCTTCGATTATTGTAGAAAAAGAACTCGAAATTTCAAGTTAATAATTGAAATAACAAGTAATTTTTATTTGAAAAAATTAAAGTTATGCTACCAAAGTGGCACCATTAGGCTTTCGTAGCCACGCTGTTGTTCACTTGCACCCAAATGTTTTTTAAAAAAGCTGGAAACCCATCCTTAACATTTGGAGAAAAATCAGATGTTTTACATATCATTGTTATCTACAAATTTGAGAAACCTTTCAGCCTATGTGAGTTTTTACATCTTACAAACTATTTGAGTGAATCATTATTAAAAACATTATTAACATGGTTAAAGCGTCTCCACGTCATGCCAAGAGCCCGGGTTTGATTCCCCACATGGGTACAATGTGGAAAGCCTGCTTTCTGGTGATGCTCTCTGGCCTTGATATAGCTTGACTGTTAAAAGTGGTGTAAAACATACTCACTCACTTGGTTGGTTGCATGTCATCCCACCCCAAAGGCGTGGATCATTGCTCACAATAATAACTACTGAATTGTCTGGCCCAGACTTGATAATCTACAGGCTGCTGTCATATACTGTAGCCATGATAGCTGGAATATTGCTGAGTGCGGCACACAATACAGATGAACACTTGAACGACAAAAAACAAATTATAAAGATTTAGGGTAAGCCCCCCATTAAACCACACATTTTTTAAGCCTTAACACTAAAAAGAACCATTCATGAAGATTCGGGTTGGGACTATGCTTACCTTAAAAGGCGACTATGCTGTCGTAAGAGGCGACTAATGGGGTCAAACTTGGTGACTTGGTTGATGCATGTCATCGTATCCCAATTGCGTAGGTCAATGCTTATGATGTTAATCACTGAATCGTCTTGTCCAGACTCGATTATTTGCAGACCGCTGTCACATAGCTGGAATATTGCTGTTAACAACAAACAGACCAACAAAACAAATAGAATAATGTCATGAAACAGTCCTCTTGAGCATGTTGAGTTTTATACGTGTTATATTTTCAAACAAGTTAACATTTTAACGTTTTTTTCTTTGGTAAGATTTAGGGTAGGTTTGTCAAAATTGGTGTGGCCTTGACATAATCAATAAATGTTTCAGATTAGGAAAGACGATCCAGGTGATTGGGTTTCTGTCTGGGATGTTTGACATGGACAAGATCAAGTCGGTGTTGATTGTGATGCCTGTGTCTGTCATCCCCAACTGGGAGAAAGAATTCAGCAAATGGTGGGTGGTATATGTAGGAGATAAATGTGTAATTTTATTTGCAGCCGTTTATTGTGATTGTTATTATTTCTTCCTGGAAATGACAATGTTAGCTGGTATGCTATGATGTGACGAAACAAAAGATGACATCATATGTTTCATGATAAATTTAAGATATATAGTGGACTTCTGATTGGTGGCTTGAGTTGTTGCCTGTGTTTGGTGATAAAACTTGCAACAAGAAAACTGGGACAATTTCTTGTCCTTTAATGAACAAGAGGAAGAAATATGATCATTGACAAACTAGCAAGCGTTACTAACAATCCAATAGCTACTCTCCAAACTGGAGTGCTTCTTCCTCTATTTTCATTCCTCAGTTTACCCACTGGTAAGGAGACCGCCTCCGTGGTCTAGTGGTAGAGCCTCCACCCGGAGATAGGAAGGTCCAGGGTTCGATCCCCGTCTGGGTCATACCAAAAGATATTAAAAGATGGTACTTGTTGTTACCCTGCCTGTCGCTTGGCATTAAGGGGCTAAAACTGTGAGTGGGATATTCATGTTTAACTGCGGTATGGTATCTCAGTGGGCTAGCACTATAAATCGGCATCAGTCAGGACTAGTACATGCAGCCACACGCACACACACACGTGCATGCATGTCACTATATAAGTGCAATAATCTTACACGCGACGTCAAACTCCATTTCATCCCCCTCCCCCTACTGGTAAGGAGGATGGCAGTTTCCATACACTCCGGCTGATGTCTCATCATCCTCCGTAATATGAATGCTCTTGATCCGCCCCCGTACCTCACTGCACAAAACACCAGTTCCAGATCTGTATAGATTCCCCCAACGGAATATAATGTTATGAGAGTCTAACAGCTAGGTACAATCCATCTAGTCTGCAGCTCATTTTTGACTGGATTTTGTGGATTTTAGAGGGCATGAGCGGCCCAGTCATCTTAGGCGTCACAATTTGATATGCAGAGTTACATCCCCTGGGGATGCTAGGAATCTGTGATTGTGGGTTTGAATCCCATTCCAACCTGATTATGTTTGTAGGTTTGTCAGCAGCATACTCAGACTTTTGGGTCTCACCAAAGTGGTAACTGTCTGAGACCTGAATCACTTTGGGCTTCCTCCCACATCAAGCTGACACCCAAGGATATAACTGGAATACTGTCCAACTCACTCTCACTCACTCACTCACTCACTCACTCACTCACTCACTCACTCACTCACTCACTCACTCACTCACTCACTCACTCACTCACTCACTCACTCACTCACTCACTCACTCACTCACTCACTCTTGACTGTGTTGACCAGGGCTCCGGGTATCCGTGTGACGCTGTACCACGGCAACAGCAAGCGGGAGAAGGAGCGAGCTCTGGCCAAGGTGCAGCGGCGTAATGGTGTCTGTCTCACATCCTATGGTCTTGTTGTCACCAGCTCGACACAACTCACTCAGAAAGATGGAGCTGAATTTGTCTGGGTGAGCTCAGTGTTTGTTGTAGATGTCTTGTTATTAATTCTACTTGTGGGCATGGTGGCCTCACTGCCTTAAATGCACTTGGACTTTGACAGTAATTAGTCAGAATTCGAACAACTGCAAGAACATAATCTTGATTGAAGATGATTTTATGATAATCTCAATAATTGCTTGTTTTAGGCCTTATATTCTTTTTTAGTTGGTTTACAAGTCCAGCAGACAAAATAAACTGAACTTTGAAACAAATAAAATGACTTTTGAAAAAAATAATTTTGGGCGACACTGTTTTGCTTATTAGCATTGATTAGATGAAATGAAAAAAACGCACAAGGTTTTATCATCGCTGTTAATAAAATATGGTGAATAAGCTATATAAAAATCTTTATTAAGATTATTAAAAAAAAACCTAACCAATTAAGTGTATTTTGGTGTCTTGCATGTTAAAATTTGTTTCTTTTTCATTGATTAGTAGCAGTCCTAATCATGCTATTCTGGAGGTTTAAATTGTGTCAATTCTTCGTCCGACCACCTTCATTGCATTTTTTTGACAATTATTTTGCAAAACAACCAATAAAAATTAAAAGGTCTTAGCTTGTGCTGGAAAGTTAACATATTGAGTTTATGTGATAAGATGCAATAATACTTATTTTGATTCCAATTACGTTTTTACCTATTATACCATAATGAATAATTAGGTTTTTATCTTTATCCTGCCTCTGTACTTATATAAAAAATAAATGCCTACCGCCTCACATTTCTGAAACTATGTATGTTTGACTATTCCAGGACTATGTGATTCTGGACGAGGGCCACAAGATCAAGAACCCGACTAAGACAACAAAAGGGGTTCACGCTATCGGTGCCCGGAACAGGATCATCCTGACTGGCACGCCGGTCCAGAACAATCTCAGGGTGAGTCACTGAGGAGTGCACAGATGCCGCCTTTACCGTTTTGCCATAATAGTTAAGACTTGAGCCTAAAATTATACTATTACATTTGTCCTCCCCCAAATTGTGAATTTTGTCATTTTGTTCACGAATTATTTACATGCATAAAATATCGCAGAGAGCAAGTTCTGAATATGACACTATGCTGATCAGTGAGACCATGCTTTCTATTCACATGGTGTTGAAATGTAAGTCCCACAATGATACAAGGTCTCTGACTGGTGGTGATGTTGAGACATATTGACCAAGCATTAATTAAATCAACAATTAAAATAAATATGGTAATGTGGGGGAAAACACACCATATTCCTTACAACAAAACACCTGGATCGCCTTTGAATGGACATCTCAAATAGTAGCTAAGAGGGAAAATATGTCAAATATGAAAATGTCTTTGAAAAATGCATACTTTTATTCCATTATTTAAGCCTAATAAACTTGTACCGGTTGTTGAACCTAAACAAAGGCTTTGAATTGTTAGAGCAGTGTTTGAAATTAGGCATTAAAGTCAAAGGGCCATGTCAAGTCTTCAGGCTTATGAAAATAAAAGAATTGGTCTCAGGCAATGACTTTTGAAAATATAGTGCGGGTGGGCGTTTCTTTTGTTTTTTGTGCTTGTTCAAACTAGTATGTAACCAAGTAAACAGTTGTTTACCATCAACCTTGGAAAGGGCCTCCCTACATAAACAAGCATGCAAACCCCCATTGGCACCATAATCATAGCACGAGATGCGCAGTAAAGCAGTGTGCCTGTAAAGGGAAGTAACTGTGTTATATTGGATTGCATTTTTTTTAAAGTAATAAAAACGAAACATTGGGCAGACTTTATGTGGGTGCGGTGGGCGGTGCCTATTTTTTTTTAGCCTTAGGTTAAAAGCTAAAGACTCCCTAGATTCAAATACTGCCGCTGTAGACTTCCAGGATCAAAGGATCCCCTTTAATTTCGAACACTCGAATTTAGGACTATCAGAAGCTGCATATTTTGAAAGCTTTTCTTATAAACATTGTGAGCGAGTGAGTGTGTTGGGGTTGGGTTTAACAGTATTCCAGTTATATCACAGTGTGTCAGCTTAATTTCAGAGGAAAGCCTGAAGTGATGCAGGTCTCGTTTGGTGAAACCAACGAGCATGTGTATGATGCTGATAAAACTAGAAACATAATCAGGACAAATCGCAAGCTTAGGTGTCTGGTGTGCGCAAGGGACGCAATTTCTGCAGTGAATTGCAGCACCTCAGACGACAGGGCCACCCGTGCTCCCTGCGGACATCATGCATGGATGGCAAACATTAAGATTTTGATGGAATCGGTACGGAAGTTTGAGTTAAATTCGGACGTAACGATCGAGGGAAATATGTTATACAAAAGAAGGTTACTCAATACAGATGTTGTGTTTGTTCAGGAGCTGTGGGCATTGTTTGACTTTGTGCACCAAGGACAGCTGCTGGGAACAGCCAGAACATTCAAGATGGAGTATGAAAACCCCATTATAAGGGTAAGTAGTTGAGAGCATATTTATGTTTTTAAGAACCCATGATGATTCCTGGTTAGAATTGCTCCTTAGCAACCTTGCAGCGCTGTAGTTTGGCACTAGTCCCATAGTCCTTGCCACACTACCCAATAGTTAAAGTAGTCTTCAGCAACCCATGCTTGCCGTAAAAAGGCAACTATGCTTGACTAACAACATGGATTTCAATGTGCAGATTTCAGTCGACAGCAGGAATGCAAAGCATTTGTACCGCCAACTGGGTGGCCAGGACTGTGCACGAAAACGCAGCAGTAAAAACAGTGCGCCAAAACGCACCCAAATGAACATGAAATGGACATGAAAATATTGTGTTTCATGTGCAAGAGGCACTTAACATGTTACACGACTGATTTTGAGTACAGTTGTGAAAAAGTTGTCAGGTGGCAACATTTTTAGTCCCAGAAAGGGAATTTAGATTGGAAACGTTGTTATAAAACAACATAGCAACAGAGTTCACATATAAAAGTGAACTTATCCACAAATTGTTCATCATAGAAAATAGTGTAATTGATTAGATACATTAAAAGTTTGAACTTGTTTCTATAGTTTATATTTTTTAACTTATCCTGCATTACTCCGTATTGCATTTACTGCTGTCTTTGACAGAGAGACGAACTGTGTGAGATCCAGCTGCTGAAGAAAGTTGTTTCCATCTGTCCAGGAAGCAGCGCCCCCTCCCACACAGTCGGCACGTGACCCGGAAGACATGACGTCATGTCAAAACTCATAACTGCTTTGTCAACCACATGGATCGGACGTGAACTGTATCCCTCAGTGGAATTATTAAAGAGAGTTTACTTGGTCCTGACTTTCTTTCGTTTTCTACGACAAAAGTCTGCTGTATTACCTTTGCCTTCATTATATTGTTAATTGGTAATGTTTCTCGCTCGGGTTCTGACTCTCGTCACGGTTTTTCCGAGCGTATTGTTGTTTCCCGCCATTTTGGTTTACCGCCATTTTTTCCCGCCCTGTTGCGATTCACTACATGTCCACGTACTTTCGTGTTTTGTGTCTTGAATTCGCTCTATGGTTGGAGTTTTACATTAAGTTTAATGATTGTTTTCGGCGTGTTTGAAGCGTAATTGTTTGCTCTTATTAACTTTGTAACAAGAATAAGTTATGTTGAGTTACATTATGTTTCACGTTGTGTGTTTACACATCGTTATGTTTTTTGCTTCAATTCCAGTATGTCTCGCTGCTCTCGCTGCCGAGGGAATAAATCTGGACGGGACCCCCACCCCTGCTGCCTGGACTGTACAACCCCGTGTACCCTCACAGAGCGTTGCAGTTATTGTAGTCCCCTGTCGCCAGTCGCCTTCACCGCCTACCTCAGAGTGTCTCGGAAACGATTCACCCAGCGTGTGCGTCGACTCGCCAACATGTCATCCAACGTAGAGTCTGCCTCCCATGGCACGACATCCGACCGTACACGGTCTCCTACACCACCCTTACCGTCATCTGCTTCGACATCATCGTCTGCAGCATCGCCCGTTTCGGGTTTCCTGTCACCTCTACCATCTACGACGACAACTCCGGCGCCTCTTGGTCCGGCGCCTCCGATGTACCCGGCGCCTCTTGGTCCGGCGCCTCCGGCGCCTCTTGGTCCGGCGCCTCCGATCTACCCGGCGCCTCCGATCTACCCGGCGCCTCCGGCGCCTCTTGGTCCGGCGCCTCCGATCTACCCGGCGCCTCTTGGTCCGGCGCCTCCGATGTATCCGGCGCCTCTTGGTCCGGCGCCTCTGATGTCTTCGATGTATACGGCGCCTCTGACTACTTCGGCGCCTTTGACTTGTGCTGCGCCTCCTACTTATGGACATGCCCTTCCGTCATCGTTCATGGATCCATCTTGGATGCAAGCTTGGATGCAGTCATTGTTTGCGCAAGCTCAACCCACCTCAGCGACGCCGACGGTGCCTCCTGCGACGCCGGCGACGCTGACGGCCCCGACTACTGCTACTGCCATTCCTGAGGCCCCCTCCACATCGGGTGCTTCTCGGTCTCGAACATTGTACACCTCGTCGCCTCCGACTGTCTCTCGGCACTCGTCCAAGTCTGCTCGTTCCCGTCGTCGCTCTCGTAGTCGCTCTCGTAGTCACTCACCCGTACATAGACGACGACGTCGTTCCTCCTCCTCGGAAGGATCATTTCGCCCCAACTATGACCCTCCATCTCCCGAGATTGATACACACTTGGGCCTTTCACAGGTTGCTGATTGGTTGGCGGACCGTCTGGCCTCCGTCGCTCCCTCCCCGGGCTCCGATGTGGATAAAAAGTTGACGATCTGGTCTAATCCGACTTCTCTACCACCCGACCCAATGCTCACTGACCTGGTTACGGCGTTGGACGAGGACTTCGCTAAGTTGTCCCTCACGCCGTCGTTCAAGGCTCCGCGTTTCCGGCGGGAAGATTTCCCCGTCCACTCCTTCGACGTGGCCGACGGTGCACATATCCTGGACGAGGACTTACATCGAATGACCGGGTCTTCTCAGTCCGTCACCATACGTATGCCGGACTCCCGACTCGCTTTCGTGGAAACGGAACTGCGCCGTACTTTGAAGCCACTATCTACACTTGCTTCATCTGCCAGAGCCATTGACCAGGATCTCGCTGAATCCAATCCTAACAGGATCGACCACTTGCGCACGGTTATGACGTTCCAACTTCGCCAGATCGATCACATGCGCAATCACCTGAGAGCTGCGCTTGCGGAGATCACCACTACTCGACGGTTGGGTTACTTGACTTCCACGGACTGGGATTCCGAATTCAAGCGTTCCTTACTACGACAACCTTGGTCGGGTCCTACCCTTTTTAATGGTGCTATCTCCGCTACCCACACCCGCGTCTCCAGTTTCGCCAGGGATGAAACTGCTCTCAGAGCCTTGGAGCATGTAACACACCAATCAGCGGCCAAGTCCTCCAAAGGCAATTATAAACCACGCCGTTCCTCCCTCAAGGTCGTCTCCAAACATACCTCGCCCTTTCGTGGGACAGGGCGTGGTCGTGGTAGAGCCCGTGGCACTTACCAACCCCGAAGGGATCGTCGCCCCGGCAAGGGGGCCGATTCCACCTCAAAGCGTTGACCGGCGGCACCTCAACGACTGGGACCTCCCACCCCCAGTCGTTCCGGTCACCGACACACCTGTGGGTGGGAGACTAGGCCGGTTTTGGAGAAACTGGTACATACTGGAGGACCCGTTCGTCACCGACATCCTCTGTCAGGGGTACCGGCTCCCATTGTCTGCGCTGCCTCCTCTGACGTCTACTCCGTCAACGGCCGCTTATTCACCCCACCAGCTTCGGCCCCTTCACGACAGCATCCTTTCCCTACTGCAGAAGGAGGCCATAGAGATCGTACACGACCCGGCTCGACACCCAGGATTTTACTCTCCGGTGTTTCTGGTGCCCAAGAAGGGGACCACCAGCTGGCGCATGATACACAATCTCTCCACTTTCAACCGGCTCTACCTGGAACGTCCTCCCTACTTCCGAATGACGACGTTGCGACTGCTCAGGACGAGAATCTCAGCTGGCGATTCCCTGATCAGCCTCGACATCCAGGACGCCTATCTTCATGTCCCCATCCACCCCAACGACCGGCGCTTCCTCAGGTTCCTTTTCAATGGTACCCATTACCAGTGGGCGGTCCTACCATTTGGAATTTCTACGGCCCCGTGGCTTTTCACACGGATCACCCGCCCGGTCGCCGCCTACCTACACCTGAGGAACATCAACTTCGATCCATACATCGACGATTGTCTCCTCAACAATCGGGACTCGGCGTTGCTACTGCGTCACAGGGATTTTACCCTGCGGCTCTTCAATCAGTTGGGTTGGATCGTCAATCAGACCAAGTCGGAGCTGATCCCATCGTTCCGTCTGCAGTTTATCGGGGGCCTGTTTCTCACGGATCTGGACCTCCTTCAAGTCCCCAGAGACAGGTGGTTGAAAATCCTCGCTCATCTCTTCCCTGCCCTTCAACAGGCTCGAACTCTCCGCCAATGGCAGGTTCTATTGGGTCTCCTCACGTCGGCTCAAGACCTGACTGCCAGAGGTCGCCTCCAGCTCCGTCCAATTCAACGGTTTCTCGCACCCTTTATCCGGCAGCAGGATCCGGAGTCCCTCATCGTCCTCCCGGTCCACCTCCACCCCTTCCTCCGATGGTGGACGGTGGAATCGAACGTCTGCGGCGGCGTCTCCTTGACCGCGCTACAGCCCTCCCTCCACCTGTTCGTCGACGCATCCAAACAGGGTTGGGGGGCTCATCTGGGGACTCAAACAGTTGCAGGGCTGTGGTCAGGAGATCGACTCTTCTGGCACAGCAACAACCTCGAACTCGAAGCTCTCATACTGGCCGTCTCCCACTGGCAGAGCATTCTCCGGCACGGCCAGTTGGCCATCTCCACGGACAACATCACCGTGGTGTGGTGTCTGAGGAATCAGGGTACTCTCCACTCTCAGTCCCTGCTCAACCAGACCTTCCGATTTTTCGACCTGGTGGACCGTTTAGACTTGCAATTCCTTGTTCAGCACATTCCAGGTTGCCGGAATGTTCTGGCAGACGCTCTGTCCAGGCCGGACAAGGTGGCTCCCACCGAATGGCGACTCCACCCAGAGATCTTCACAGTCCTTTGTCAAACGATCGCCTCTCCAAACATCGATCTGTTCGCCACGTCTCAGAACTGCCAGCTGCCGACTTACATCTCGCCGGTCCCGGATCCGGCCGCTGTAGCAGTCGACGCCTTCAGTGTTCCCTGGGAGGGATTAAGCGCGTACGCTTTTCCGCCTCCGGTTCTCCTTCCCAGGGTTCTTCAAAAGATCCAGGCCACTCGACACTTGACACTGATTTTGGTCGCGCCTTGGTGGCCGGCCAGAAGTTGGTTTGTCGACCTCCGAAACGTCGCCAGAGACAACCCTCTAGAACTGCCAGCGTGGTCCAACCTTCTGCTTCACCCACACAGTCGGTTGCCCCACCCAAGTCCCGCTCGGTTTCATCTGCACGCCTGGCACATCTGCAAAAAGCCCTAGGAGCCAAGGGCTATTCGACTAGAGCAGCCAAGGCTATTGCTTTCGCCCATCGTCCATCTACACGGGGACTATATGATGATAAATGGTCCTCGTTCCAGGCGTTCTGCTCTGACAAGCATCAGGATCCGATGACGGCATCCCCGCAGTTCCTGGCTGAGTTTCTTCTGTACTTGCGCAGCACGCGTCGATTAAAAGGCTCTACCATCTCCACGTACCTGGTCGCCATTAACTCCGTCCTTGCCATTCCGGACGACCGGAGAATGACGAAAATTCCCGAACTCCAGGCTATGCTGCGCTCGTTTCGTCTCGACGACCAGAAAGCCAAGTTCAGACCGCCTGCGTGGGATCTGAATGTGGTCTTAAAGGCTCTTCGGGAGGCTCCCTTCGAACCACTCCACACGTCTTCCTTTTACGACTTAACGAAGAAGACGGTGTTTCTACTGGCCTTGGCTACTGCCGCCCGGGTTAGTGAGCTCCACGCCCTCGACGTCTCTCGGGTCAGGTTCGAACGCGGGACTCATGGAGCAGTTCATCTTGGGCTGTGCTTGGACTTCATCGCAAAGAATCAACTCCCCGGACAGCCTGATAGATCCTTCACCATCCCTCCACTTTCGTCGATTGTGGGTGCCGACGACGTGGAGGAGCTCTTATTATGCCCAGTTAGGGCCCTGAAGGTTTTCCTGCGACGGTCTAAAGCCTGCCGTAAGTCTAGGAAACGCCTTTTCCTACCGGTCTCCCCTTCGTCGCTGTCGGAGGTCAGCCGGAATACTATCTCCCTGTGGCTCCGGGCGGTCATCCTCCAATCTTATAAAGTCGCCGGATTGGACCCCCCCAAGGCTAACAACCCCCACGAGATTCGGGCGGTCGCGTCTACCATGGCTCTGCACAGTAACTGTTCCCTCAAATCTATCATGGAAGGCTGTTTTTGGCGTTCCGACACCGTTTTCGCCAACCACTACCTCCGTGATGTAGCCTTGGAAGATGTCGCTGGCGTTCATAGCTTTGGTCCCCTGGTGGTAGCTCAACAGGTCACCAACCCCCGACGCCACTGATTCTCCGTTACCCTGAGCGGGGCCCGTCGACCTCTCTGGTGTTTATCACCACAGATTAGAGGGCTCTACTGCGTTCCGCATTCGCTCTTAGGTCAGTGCTAGTTTTGGCATTCCCGCCTCATACTATTTCTGTCAACTATTTCGGGTTCCCTCTTTTGCATCGACTCTCGTTTCCTTTCACAGGAATGGTCGCTGGTGTTCCGGTCATCGCTTGTCCATGCGGTGCGATTTCATCGGACCTTTGTCGAGGGTTTTCTTCTGGCTCACATCTGAAGGTATGCCCACCGGCCGTGCCGTCTGATAAAGATGCAATACGGAGTAATGCAGGATAAGTTAAAAAATTTAGTAAAATCTAAATATTTTTTACATTTGTATACTTATCCTGCATTACGAAGTCTAAGTGCCCCCCCTGCGCTCCGCTTCCTCCCCACGAAGTTTCCGATGTTATGTTAAAGCAGTTATGAGTTTTGACATGACGTCATGTCTTCCGGGTCACGTGCCGACTGTGTGGGAGGGGGCGCTGCTTCCTGGACAGATGGAAACAACTTTCTTCAGCAGCTGGATCTCACACAGTTCGTCTCTCTGTCAAAGACAGCAGTAAATGCAATACGGAGTAATGCAGGATAAGTATACAAATGTAAAAAATATTTAGATTTTACTAATGTTTTGAATTTAGGGGTTATCTTCACTCCACTGGGTGTCAACAGATATTTTGCAAATTCTTTAATGCTTTTAATCAAGGTGCTTACATGATTTGATGCACTTCGCGGGGTAAGACCCGTTTTATTGCAATATAGACATTGATTATAGAGCAGATCTTCCAGACTGGGCGCCGCCATTTTGTTTGAAACAGCAAGTGATATGAGAGATGGAATCTGATTGGTTAATAGGAGGAACATAGAAGGGACATAACTCGTAATAATCACTGGTGGCGCAAAGAACGAGCCTGGAAATTCCAGCCTTGTTCGACGGGTAGAAACTTCTTTAGTCAGTTAACGCCCTTGCCTCGTGAAGATTATGGATATCAGTACCTTGATTGTTTGCGACAATGCGTTCATGTGACATCAAAAACAATTTAAATAGGTGGACAATTTTTATAATGCTCAGTTGGAATTACTGAAATACTTTCACCTATATACCTTATGGGTAAATACAGCAATACTCAGTCTGTGAAAGTTATTTGTGATGTTTCAGTCTCGAGAGCGTGATGCCACAGCCGGTGAGAGACGACTTGGGCAGGAGATGGCGGAGAGCTTGAAGAAGATCATTGAGCCGTTCTTCCTTCGAAGAACCAAAGCTGAGGTGACTGACAAGAAGAACAAAGGAGGAGAAGAAACTGAAGATGGGAAGAAACATCTCACTAAGTACTTGCTGTTAATATTATGCATCATTTCAGGGACTGCCGCAAATAGCTACAAAATTTCACTCACTCACTCACTCACTCACTCACTCACTCACTCACTCACTCAGTGCCGGTATTTACAATTTCTGTGTGACGTCACACCCCTCGTTATAGTGCAAGTATTTGTGATAGAAAACGTATGATGTCCAAATATATAAATATATGATGCTGAAAGCTCTGATTCAAAAACAGGACAATATGTGTACTGTACATCCTCTCGATTGACACGAAACTTTATAAGAGCATTTCATGGTAATTAAAATCGATACCCTAAGTAGGAATAATACTTACTATTTACTTTTTAATCATGAAATTGTGACAAGTGTGACCCCTTGCTTAGCATTTCTATCGGTCAAAAGTCTGACAACTTAAACAAAATGAAAATTTATCTGTCTATGACCGGAGACTGACAGCCATCTGAAACCCTGGCCTAGAACACACCCACTCCTTCATTCAAACACTCTGAATTAAAATCCCCTGGTTTGACCTGCTATGGAAGATTTGTCAAATCATAATGGAGAGATGATTCATTCAGTCAGGGTAACTGGGAAAGTGTTATCTCAAATATAACATTTGTTAAATAAGAATTCTGTTTTAGCCATATAAAAATCCCTTAGATTATTTTTATTGTGAAAGCAATCTTTACCAATATAATCGGCGATGTAAGGAAAAAACATGTCATTCTGATTATTTTTTTTCTGAATTTATCATTTTTAAGGTTGAAATTACCATGCAAAAACCAAGGTCGTAAAACGTCTAAGGTCTAAGGAAAACTTATTTCCTTCCAGAATGCCATCACTTGGACGGAAGAACGATTTTGTGGTGTGGGTGTTTCTCAAGCAGACACAGTTGAAGATTTATGAAGATTTCTTGGCTTTAGACAGTGTTAAAGAGGTGAGATCTATCCACAAAGTTCATGGTAATTACTGTATTTGATGTAATAAGCGCCCAGGGCGCTCTCAAAATTAGAAATAGGGTCTCTTATTAGAATATAATTTTGGTGAAAAACAACAGATTTGAAAGATCGTAAATTTCAGCCGGAAATGTTTATATACGACAGATATATTTTTCCAGAATTTAATTTCCCATAGTTAAGGATGCATATAACACATGTATTATACACGAATAAATAAGTCTTGTGTACATTGATCAATCAGAAGGGATGCTAATTGGGATTGTTCACTGGGCAATATATTAGCAAATATTGCTGTGGGCGCTTATTATGTCAAATACAGTATGCAGCTTGAGGCCATACAGTTTTGTCTACTAGAAATCTGATATGGATTATCTGATGTCAATAGTGTTCATTATCAGAATAGAAATATTTGTTAATGTGCCAAGACTGATATAGTTTCAATTACTCTTTGCACTTTCACTGGGTATATTTTTGGGTTCTTTCTCATCATTAGAAAACCCTACCTATTATTTATAGGTTACATGCATGGTTTGTTTAGTTATTTTGAAAAAGACAGTTGTTTATCCTTGCCTTCGTACATTGATCAAAGTAGCTTGCCACAATGTAGATTCTACTGTAGTAATCAATATTAAAGAAACTGATCTCACTACGGCTGAAATATTGCCTATGATCGTTTTTACTCTCTGTCACTTAGATTGAATGTTTGAAAAGAAATCTTGTTTGACAGGAAACAATTACAATTTGCAACTTGCAACAACTGAGATCCGTTTCATGTGCTGAAGGCCATATGTGTTTGATTGACAGCTGCTGATGACCAGTAAGTCTCCTCTGGTTGCGCTGACCGTCCTGAAGAAGATTTGTGACCACCCACGGTTGCTGTCCAGCCGGGCGTGTGCTCAGCTGGGTCTCGATGGCGAGGAGGGGTAGGTAACACACAGCAAATCCAGTGTTTGCTGTTTTCACTTCTGTTGCTGCCAAACCTAGACAATATTTACAAGTTCAATTTCTATTTAAAAAAAAATCAATTACTTTGTTTTTAACCTTAATTGTGCAGATCCAGGGTATAATAGGTCTTCAGCAACCTATGCTCCCCGTAAAAGGCCACTAAACTTGTAAGGGGCGACTAACGGGATCCGGAAGGTCAGGCTTGCTGACTTGGTTGATGCACATCATCGTAACCCAATTGCGTGGATCGATGCTCATGATGTCAATCACTGGATTGTCTGGTCCAGACCCAGTTATTTACAGACCGCAGTCATATAGCTGGAATATTGCTGAGTGCGGCGTTAAGCAACAAACAAGCAGAAACATTAAGAAATTCACCATTGTAAATTTTACAACCGCTGCTGCTCTGTGCATTATTTACCATGAGTGAGTGAGTATCGGTTTACGCCACCGATTGTCTTGTCCAGACTCGATTATTTACAGACCGCTTCATACAGCTGTAGTGCGCAGTTAAGCAACATGGAACAAACATTAATTGTGAAATTATTAACATGTGGACATGTTTCCCCTCCCTGCCAATGGTGTTTTCCCTCCCTGACTAACTCTGATATTGTTTGTTCCGAACCTGTCTGACACCAATGACATTTCCCAATCTCTGTCTGATTCTATTTTCCCTTTCTCTAGCTGATATTTTCTGAAGATATTTTCCCATCCTTTGTTGGTTACTGTTATGTTTTCCCCTTTCCTTGTCGGACTCTGAAGATATTTCCCCTTTCCTTGTCAAACACTGATGATATTTTCCCATCCCTCTCTAACAATGTTTTCACTTTCCTTACCGCACTGTGATGATATTTTCCCTTCCCTCTCTAACAATGTTTTCACTTTCCTTACCGCACTGTGATGATATATTCCCTTCCCTGTCTAACAATGTTTTCACTTTCCTTACCGCACTCTGATGATATTTTCGCTTCCCTGTCTGAATGTTTCCCCTCCATGTCTGATAATAATTTCCTACGACCTCCAATGATGTTTTCCCCTTTCCTGTCCCTGACTATAGCCTGAACACTTCCAATGACACACCGTCCGGCATGGAATGCGCTGCCAACAAGATCAACCACATCGACGACGAGGTGCTGATCGGGGAGTCAGGGAAGCTGTTGGTGCTGGTCGACCTGCTGGACAACCTCAAATCAGAGGGCCATCGCTGTCTGATCTTCTCTCAATCACGCAAGATGCTGGACATCATACAGAAAATTGTTACAAACAGAGTATGTATCACCGTTCTTACAGGGTTCATACGGGGCTCATACAAGGTTTATGCAGGATTCATGCAGGGTTCATACAGGGTTCAAACAGTGTTGGCACAGGGTTCACACAGGGCTCATACAAGGTTCATACAAGGTTCATACAGAACATTCAGGGTTCATACAGAACTCATGCAGGGTTCATACAGGACATACAGGGCTCATACAAGGTTCATACAGGGCTCATACAGGGTTCATACAGGGTTCATACAGGACATACAGGTTTCATAGAGGGTTCATACAGGACATACAGGGTTCATACAGGACATACAGAACTCATGCAGGGCTCATACAAGGTTCATACAGGACATACAGGGCTCATACAAGGTTCATACAGGACATGCAAGGTTCATACAAGGTTCATACAGGGCTCATACAGGACATACAGGGTTCACACAGGACATACAGGGCTCATACAAGGTTCATACAGGACATACAGGGTTCACACAGGACATACAGGGCTCATACAAGGTTCATACAGGGCATACAGGGTTCATACAGGACATACAGGGCTCATACAAGGTTCATACAGGGCTCATACAGGGTTCATACAGGACATACAGGGTTCACACAGGACATACAGGGCTCATACAAGGTTCATACAGGGCATACAGGGTTCACACAGGACATACAGGGTTCACACAGGACATACAGGGCTCATACAGGACATACAGGTTTCATACAGGACATACAGGTTTCATACAGGACATACGGGGTTCATTCAAGGTTCATACAGGACATAAAGGGTTCATACAGGGCTCATACAGGACATACAAGGTTCATACAGGACATACAGGGTTCATACAGGACATACAGGGTTCATACAGAACATACAGGGTTCAAACATACTTTCAAAATAAGGGTAGTTGACACTCAGGAAGATGCCCAGTCCTAATTAACACCTCTGTTACCCTCAGGGACACAAGGTGATGCGTCTGGACGGCACAGTGACCCAGCTGTGTGAACGAGACCAACGCATCCAGAAGTTCCAGGGAGACAGCTCCTTCTCCGTCTTCCTTCTCACAACACAGGTACACTTGAAGAAGGCAGTGATTACCCACTAAAAGACTACCTACTGGACTGTTCGCAAAGCTTACTAGTTTTGTCTTTGATTTAAGGGGGCACTAGTGGCCCAGTTGTCTAAGGCTCAGCGATTCGCCAGAAACCTATGGTTGTGGGTTCAAATCCCGGTTCGCCCCGATTATGTTTCTAGGTTTGTCAGCACCATACCTGTGCTCGTGGGTTTCACCGAAGTGCTAAACGTCTAAGACCTGCATCACTTCGGGCTTTCCTCCCTAAGCTGACACGCCGCAATGTAACTGGAATACTGTTAAAAGCGGCATTAAACCCAACTCACTCACTCACTCACTCACTCTTTGATTGAAACTTTGGTGATAATTTGAAAAGAAAAGTGCCTTGGATAGTGATATAGAGTTTATGTTGATCTTAAAGATTCTAGCAAGAAGTTCCAGCTTGTACTGGCTGTCACTCCATATAAAAAATCCTTAACCTTTAGCCTGCTGAATTATTTTCACACTTCTTACCCCTGCCTGCTGGATTAATTTTAGCATAAGGCGCTCTAAAGAGGGTGGGTGATTTCAAACAGTCGGTGCCTCATTAAACAAGGGCCAATTGAAGAAATATTTTGCACATTTATTCCTGATAGAAAACTACACAGTCCTATATAAAAATATCCTGGTGTTTTCAATCATACCAATGTTAAGACCAAAGCGAACACAAAATTTGTAAATTTTCTTGAACTTACCTGAATTGCGTTATTGAAGGTGGTTTTCATTTCATGCTAGGAACCTTTTAATATCGTAACATTTGTGCAAATTGATTTCAATAATCATATCTCCGATATCTTAATTTTAATTGAGTAAAAATTCGGGGGTTTTTTATCAGCAAATAACAGCGCGATGGTAAATTAGGAACCATTTCAGTGAATTTATTATCTAAACGTTAAACATAAAAATAACTTAATTTTCGAGGTCATCATGTCGGTTGCAGAAATACGAATATTCGGGTTAATCTGACGTGTCATGTTATAAAATTTGCAGGAAACAATTAATGACTTATAAATATTCACTAATCCTAATTTCAAGCGTTTTGGTTGAATATTTACGATATACAAAAATAAACAACCCGTGTCATGATGCTAGCAGACGTCCTAAAATCAAACATGGCGCGCTTCGCTCGACCTCCGCATATCTTACTGCTATTTTAACATCAACAAAGTTTACATTGCCTTTAAAAATATAACTTGGCGAAAGTTGACGATCTTCTCAATCGAAGAATGTTTTATTTGTCATATTCCAATAAATATGACGAGAGAAAAATGAAAATAAAGATCGTGAATTCTGACAGCACTATTTCAATAAGTGCATAGGTCACCGGATGTGATGTCACAGACAGGGGTAGTCTGCTGATAAGCTTTCGAAACAAAACAATTACAGTAAATTTTGAAATAGTTCGCCTATCACATACAGCAAAACCATAAGTCGATACACAGTATCAGTAATCGCCACTAACATGAAATAAAAATGTGACTTTGACGATATAATTCGCGTATTAGTTAATCCGTTTGACCTTGCATGCTCCCGTGACCCGGAAACGGTAGACGATAAATCAACATGCCACATGCAAGTTTCTCGGTATCTTTTATTTGAACTTCTGTTGATATTTAAGAATCACCATTCAATGTTGTGAATATAAATGGGACATGATTCATATTTCTGCGATGTAAACGCTGATAAGTTTCACTACAACAAGTGTATCCCACGTAATACGTCTATGGATATCGTCGATCAGCAAGATCACCCTCTTCAACAGGTGCGCGAAAATGGGCTTGACAAAACATGTTTCAAAATAACATCCCCGCGTTGCTGAATATGATAGGGTATATATAAGCAATAAAATGCTACGTACATATTTTCGGTGTTAGTTCCACATTACATTTAGGATAGCTTTCCTTTCGGGAATACATTCATAGATTCTAGCATGATTTTAGAACAGTTACACGAAGGATTTCTAAATTTATTCCAAAAATATGAAGACCACCATGATGGCGTATTGATGATGATTTGTAATTGTTTAATTATTTACAGCTGTTTACAGGTTTTAAAATTTTAAGTTATATTTAAAATAGTTATTTTTCCCACAATGATGGTGTGTGGGGACAGTAAATATTAGTCTTTGCATCAGCACAGTGTAACTGATCAAACTTCAATTATTATCTTTAGTTTAAACATATTTATTCAACAATTATTATCTTGCACTCTGAAAATCAACTATGTGAATAAGTAACTCTCTGATGTCATCATTTTAATTTTAGTATTCCATGAATAATGAATAAATCAGATCCTTAACATATACATACTAAACTCATATGGACATTAATCTTGTGCATTATGTGGTTTGTTTCCAAATAAAACAATTCTAAAATAAAATTTAATAGGAATTAATTTAATTTAATAACAGTAACAGTACTTGTAACAGTACATGACATTTTTGTTTGTTTAATCACAAGAACCATGGTGGCACATGAGCTGGTAAGTTTGCCACAGGTTTCTTAGAAAATGCTATCTCAGTCTTCTGGTTGGAATGAAAAGAAACATGCCTGTGTACATGTTTACCCTTGCCAGATGTATTTTTTCCAGTCAGCCAATCCATTACTTTTGTTCACCTTATGTGGTCTATTTTATACATACAGGTACTGCTTCCAACCTGTTTTTTCTTTGTATGCAATCACAGTATCACAACTTCCTCAGCTGGTGTGTATAAAAGTTCCCCTGTCATCATGAAAAAAGAATTATAAAGGAAAGTCATATTTTCATTCAAAAACATCTGTCTTTCCTTGAATACTCTTTGTCTAAGTGCCAGAAATGTCAGTGTCATAAAAAAATTAAAAACAGATTTTCATAAGGACTTTTCTTAGGTAGACCTAGATCTAAGTCAAACCATGTGACAAGTTAGGTAGAATTATAACCTTATAAGCCCTCATTTCTGAGGTGTCCATATTTTAAACATTTTTAGGACTAAATGTGATCTGTGTAGATCTGCCTGTTTTGTTATGTAAAACAAATTCTTGTCTTAAAAAATGAGAAAAGGAATCATTCAGACGATTTTTTTTTATCCCATTGATTCACGAAAATCAGTTGAAATGTACAGTGGTGACTTTTGTACCCAAAATTTCTAGTAATTTGTTACCCAAATGGGTATGTGATTTTGTAGATCAACCTAGAATTATTTCAAAGATATACATTAATTTGGTGTCTTAAACTTAACATATCACTTTCCTATCAAAACAATTCATTCTAACTTAGGTTTAACCAACTTAACTGGCCTCTCCTTCAGTGACAAGACGTCAATTTTCTCTCAAAACTAAACAATCAATTTCAAGGATCACAGTCATAATCATATTTGGAACTTGATGAAATATTTTATTGTGTGTTCTGTTCATCTACATGAAAACATAAATATAATTATAGATCTATTTTCTTATTTTCTTAGGTACAAATTCACAAAGTATTTTGGGTACAATTTAATTTGTTTTGGGTACAAAATCACATATATAGGAGCCTAGAATCTATATATATTTACACTAGCCTACCTCGTTGTGTACCAAAATTTTATCGGTTCAGAGGACGGGATGTTCTCAGAAAGTTTTCAACAACATCTTTAATATTTAAATTGTTCTTTTTGTAATGTTAGACCTATAACAATATTATGTTATTATTATGGCATATCAATACGTTGTATCGCTCTCCGTTGCGTCCGTTTTTAGAAAATATTTTAAAATTAATATCATCGAGCGTGAAATGCATTACGGTTTCGGATTTAGACTTGCACATTTGATGGCGACAATCACGAAGAAATATGAAACAAATAGGAGTAAAGACTGCTCTCCAGATCAATAAATAGTAAAGAGTTGACGAAAAATAGTAAATTATGTATTTTCTTTTGAATTTGAATCTATTTCGGAATTTCTTTATGATAGCTTACCAACTTTTGCATATTTCATTATTTTGCTTCCATGTGTCACATGCGGTACGTGCTTCCGGTTTCAGAAATCATAGCTAAAATTGCAAGTATTTTGATTATTTCTCATAAAATGCATTATTTTGCTATTGAATGGTTTACCTAGAATGTATATCAGTTCAGATTTTGCGTATCATCCAATATTTGTCATTTTTCGCAGTGTTTGTCGACTTTGTTCAACTCAACAAATCGCGAGTTAGGCCACGCCCAAACGTATCACTGACGTTTGTCAGCTGTTTGTCGGCTTGTCAATGTGTCGGAAAGTTTATCAAACGAAATCATTTCCAAACTCTTTAAAAATGAAATTCTTTTTACAAAGATTTATACATACGTGTCAATAATTCTAGAAAATTAAGTTAGATGTAACAAAATGATTGTAATAGTCTAACGGGATAACTATGCATGTGGAGTTGTTTGTTTACCGCCGTTGCCATGATAGTACAAGTTTCATCCAATCGATGATGTTACGATTCAGATTGTTTTTGTTTACAATTAGTTACACCGAAAGTTGCTAATTTTTAGAAATTAAGGAACATGAGTGTTTTCCTTTCGCCAGCAAACAAAAAATTATGATCGAATAGGAAAAATGATGAAATTATAAAGAAAATATCGGACTGCATGCCGCTCAACGTGAAGTGCCAAAAGTCAACAATGGCCGTTTCTGGTAGTTGTGTGCCGAGAAGTTTGGCCGAAACATTTTTAACTCGCGATATTTTCTTTTTGAGGTAAATAAATGACTGAACGTTTTGATATTGAGCAAGCTGAGGATTTATGCATGTCATACGTAATTTAAATGTTACGCAAAGCCTTCTTGGTAAATAGATATGGCGAGTTTTATTTTGGGGTGTTGTTATGCTATTCGCCTGTCGAATGGGTTCGACATCAGATGCACGGGGATGGACACCTCTGTCGAATGGGTTCGACGTTAGCGTGCAGAGCTTTAAGGATTGGAGAGATCTTGTACATTTTGTAATGATGAATTTACACCAATTTGGATCAACTTGTCCATGTGAAGTGTGGCCTGACGTATGAGATATTCCTGCTGTGTACCAGTTTGTGTGAATGACTCGGTTAATCTCGACTCTTATATAGTATCATGCAGTCAGATTAAACTCATTTTTCAGCATAACAAAACAAATTATTACCCATGGTCAATGCAAAAACAAGGACCCGTGTACATGACCCCTGAGGTGATCTGACTTGACCGTGGCCACCGACTGCCAGGTGTCAGGTCCAAGGGTCCTCGTTTTCACATATTGACCTCGTAGAGTAATCATTCGTATTGTTGATCTAATGTTCACATTAAAGTTAATGAAGCCACTGTCCACTGTTTCATTACTTAGCTGTGAACCGTTAAATGTAAGTATACCAGACACCGCTGTTAGTATAGCAGACGAGTTCTATTCTTAAAAGAGGTGTAATAATAAAAATAAGGTTTGTTAAATCAATAATACATTAATTGGTACATGGCAGGCATTTTCATGTACTATCAGGTCAAATATGCCACCACTGTAAAATGTCATAAAATGAATGAGAGTAATTAAATGAATTACACACTGCTCAATCAATCCAGAAATCTGAAAGCATAAAACTAAAACTACATTCATTCTAGTAGGGGGACGGTTTACCGATTTATTTATTTTTACTTCTCAATACCATTGAACAGAAAGGGGAAAAGTATCAATTTTTACCTTTGATAAATGTTACACCAAACACTAGTTACTAGTGAAAATGAGTAGTGACAGCGTAAATATTTTCATCCATTGCACCACTGCCAACAAGTGTGCCAGATATTTGGCCATCCTGTCTATGAAAAACATGGCTTACTCACCACATGCAAGTATCGGATATGTATCAGATCGTGAACAAGGTATTGTGCTACATATTGGTTCGCACAGTTGGTGTACGAGGGGTGTTCATTAAAGATTTCCCCTAACCCACTTCCGATGGACCTAGTGGAATGAAACTTGGCATAGGTATTAGTCTTTCTCCACATAGGAACCACCAAGAGTTACACACTTCTCCCATCATTTATGCAACTATGGAGACCTCGCTTGTAAAAGCCCTCATTTTGCATCTCAAACCAGGACTTGACTTCAGAAATCAGTGTTTCATCATCTGTGAAACGTTTTCCCTTCAAAAATGACTTCATGGTTGGAAAGAGGTGGAAGGTCAGGAGAGTAAGGAGGATGTGGAAGGATTTCATAGCCACAGGACCGTGCTTCTGTCTGGGCAACATGAGTGTTGTGTAATGGAGCATTGTCTTGCAGGAGACGGACACCCTTGGTCAGCATGCCACACCTCTTAAGCTTGATAGCGTCCCGCAATTTCCGCAGCAGTGAAGCATAATAAGCTCCTGTATTTGTGGTACCCTTTGCCAAGAAATCCATCATCACTACTCCGTGCTGGTCCCAAAACACACTGTGAGCATGACCTTGCCTGCAGAGGGTTGGACACGTGCCTTCTTTGGGGGTGGTGACTCCACATGCTTCCATTGCATCGACTGAACTTTAGTCTCAGAATCATAGTGATGGACCCATGTTTCATGCTGGGTCATAAGTCTGTCCAAAAAGTTTGCCTGTTTTTTTTGGCCCATGTCCAAAAGATCCTTTGAGCATTTGACTCGTTCCTGCTTTTGGAAAGGTGTGAGCAACCTGGGAATCCATCGTGCAGACACCTTATGCATGTTCAAATTGTCATGGATGATTTTTTCCACAGACCCTACACTGATCTTGACATCTTGTGCTAACTGGCGAACAGTTAGACATCGGTCTGCCAAAACGGCGGTCTCCACTTGATGGATAGTGTCCTCATCAATGGCTGAATGGGGGCGACCAGGAATGGCAGCTGTTTCCACAGATGTCCGACCACACTTGAACTTGCAATGCCAGTGTTTAACAACGTCATATGATGGGGCATCTTCCCCATAAGTTGCTTTCATTTCATCGAAAGTTTCTTTTGGTGTGCGACCGTTCAAATATAAAAACCTAATCACTGCTCGGTATTCTACTGGCTCCATTGTCACACCCTACTCGATCATAACACCTGTAAAAGTGGTAAGATTAATAGTTCGGTGCTGCAAATTCAGACATAACCCTTAGATACATGTATCATTACACATGTGAAATTTCAACCAAATATGATAACCCTAAGTGGTTTAGGGGAAATCTTTAATGAGTACGGGTTCGATTCCCGACATGGGTACAATGTGTGAACCCATTTCTGGTGTCCCCTGTCGTGATATTGCTGGAATATTGCTAAAAGTGGCGTAAAACCAAACTCACTCACTGGTGTATCGTCCCAACCCTAATTCATTCTGTGAATGATGACCACATGTTTACTGTACAATATTGATCTTGATCTGCAGGTTGGTGGTGTGGGACTGACGCTCACCGCAGCAGACAGGGTGGTCATCTGTGAGTGTTAACAATACAAGTCCATTTGCAATGTGTTTGATGCGCCAGGTTCCAAGTTTCCAGATTCTTTAGACAGCATTTTAGTTGAACAGCATTATCATATAATCATGGTCACATGCTTTAATAAACATACTGACCTCAATGCATGTTGTAAATTATTGATATCATGAGTGTTAGATTGGAATAATGCCCAGTGATGACAAAACGATGTCATGTGTCAATGTTGTTTGTTCGCAAACAGCAGTACTCTGAACTGGTCTAAAGTCCGGTCATTCAGTAAACAGTCATTCCCTCGTAACCTACCATCACACAGAACATTAATTACAAATAACAAGTTACCCTGACGACATCCGATGTAACACTAGGCGCCGCCCACTTGTACAATGTACTGCTATCAATGCATAACAAGTCATTGTTAGTTCTAATTCAATCGTTAGCCTCACATCTTGACCCAAAAATGTGAGTGAATCTTAATGTTTAGTTCCCCGTCATTTTGACCGTGTTCCCACCACTCCCCAGACGACCCCAGCTGGAACCCTGCCACGGATGCGCAGGCAGTGGACCGAGTGTTCCGTATCGGCCAGAACAAGAATGTGGTGGTCTATCGGCTGATCACGTGTGGGTCGGTGGAGGAAAAGATCTACCGCAGACAGATCTTCAAAGACTCCATCACCAGACAGACCACAGGGAACTCCAAAAACCCTTACAGGTACAGTAAACTATGTTTATACCCAACACGCTCATAACGAATTGACAGACCAACTGTTTTGGTGTCCCGTCCCTTAGCTTTATATATGCTGTATATATGCTCATAACAAACTATGGTTATAACGAACTAAAATTAGTGGCCACTTTTCTTTGTAACCGTAGTATACTGTACATCAATGAAGCAATTGCAGTGGTTAGAACCACCACTAATCTGAGAAGATCTAGGAGGTGTGCACTAGTTGGATCATCCATTGCGTAATGATAAATTACCCTGAACATTCGCCGACATGGCTTCATTTCGAGTCACATGACTCGTTCAATAGGAATTCAATTATTTGCCCAGTCCCATCTCTCTATGTTATGTGCCATCTCAGAACATAGCATCAGAGTGCAGCTATAAGCAAAATTTATTAGTCTAATTCGATTTAATATAGTAAGGGCTTTCTCACAGGAGGCAGTGATTTTTAGAAGTTTAGGTCTATACCAGTATTGTGTTCAGTAGAGGCATTATCATTGGTTATTGATTTCAAGCTCATGAGCAAGGAACTATCCTGCAGTAATAGGAGAAATGGAGCTGGTTCCATACTCCGAACCGAGTTGTGGTATCTGAAGGACAGGCAGTCATTATTTATTTATTTATTTACCAAGGACCCTTCTACTTTCGCCGTAATTTCAAACAAGGCATGCTAAGGTCACAGGCATATACTGACACCATAAAGGTTCAGAGCAGCACCAATAAGATTTATTTATTTATTTATTTATTTATTTATTTATTTATTTATTTATTTAATAAAACATCATAATAGCATAGACACTAATATCACCAAATTAAAACACTTCCACTTCCACATTTTCTACTGGGTATTATCCAGTGGAAACATTGAGATTCAAAATATCAAACTTGGTACAGTGTGACAAGGGGAGCCTGAGAGAAGATGTGGTGTGATGGTTTATATGTAATGAAATTTTAAAGATTCTTAGCATGTCTTAGTAAAGTACAGATTTCCGTATTTCCTTTTGGTTGAGTCCCATCCGGGACAGCTCCCATTGCTGAAAACTATGAATTCACAATGCCATTTAGAAAGTGGTCTAATGTAACGAATGTTATATTTGGGATAATACTTTCTTCGTAAAGTACAGATTCTCATACTTTTTGTAATAAAAAAACCATTGTACAAGACTAGAGACTTGGTTTAGTGAGGGGAGGCTGCTCTCATTTGTATGTTCAAGGGCGTAAGTAGATGATGTGACCACATAAGTGGTGATGCTTCTACATAATGCTTATATAGCATTCCGTCCGTCTGTCCCACTGTCCGAGCTTTTGTACGGCCCATAACTTTTTAACCATGCACCCTAGCTTCACCAAACTTGCTACACACATCTACCACAATGAGTACTTGTGCCTTTTGCTAGTTTGAAGATTCTGCAATTTTTTTTTTGCCGTTTCCATGGAATCATGGTGAAACATAAATTTGGGTAGAGTTTTTGTACCACTATGTTTTTTATCTTTTGTAAGATTCTGAAAGTTCTCTTTTGCAGTTTTCATGATGGAATTTAGAAATTTTGTTGGCTGGTTTTGTATAGCTAATATATTTTCCAAAATTGTTTCCACACATGTAGATCATCATTAGTATCTGTGCTTAGATGGGATTATTAATTTATTGTTCCATTATTTATGTGTTTTTTTATCAACAAATTTTGGTCCTTTTGATAATTCTTCTTATGTAACCCCTCAAACCAATTTATATTTAAATGTGTTCATGGTGATCTACTTCCTCGTAGTGAACACTGGTAACATGGGAGATTTTGGGGGGGAGGGGGTCAATTGTCACTGGAACTCAATCTTAGTTTTTAAAACATTGAAGTTAAAGTCAATCAGAAATATGTCATATTTCATTAATTAACAAACTTGTTACTATTTGTTGTTGACCAGCAGGGGTAGCAGGGGTATGTGAGCTTTGCTCACTTCTTTCTTATTGGTGCTGCTCTGAACCTTTATGGTGTCAGTATATGACTGTGACCTTATCATGCCTTGTTTGAAATTACGGCGGAGGTAAAGGGTCCTTGGTAATTGAAGTTTATCCCTTGATCCAAATACTATAGTAGCAATTTGACCCTACCTGAATGCTGGAATTGCAACTGGTTGGATTGGGACGTAGCAAGAGGATTGTACCCGACATGTCCCCAGCATAAGTAAGTGCTATTGGTGATGTGACAATACCACTGTACAAATCCTGGGAATACACTGGGTTAGTTTGCAGCATCCTGTCCTGAGATCTACCACCTGTCTATCCATTATGTATGTTTTTCTGATGGTCAAGGGCGTAAGTAGATGATGTGACCACATAAGTGGTGATGCTTCAACATAAAATGCTTATTGGTGCTGCTCTGAACCTTTATAACGCCACAAGGCTTGCATTACTACAGCAACAGTACATCATAACCCATTTCCTTCAAGTACAGGAAGTGTCGGTTGTCAGGGGCGATTTCTAAAGTTATCAATGATCCAGTGTTAGTCAACTGGCCACTCATTAGGGAATAGATAGTGAAGTAAGTCACTAAATATAGTTCAAACACTTGTTATGAAAAAAGACTTGGACAAGCATGAGTACATGATGTCAGCATATGCCTGTGGCTGATATTATCCTTATTGTGCCTTGTTTGAAATTACGGCGGTAAGTAAAAGGGTCCTTGGTAATTGAAGTTTATCCCTTGATCCAAATACTATAGTAGCAAAACTCTTTGACCCCAGCTGAATGCTGGAATTGCAACAGCTTATATGTACTGGTTGGATTGGGTCAATATTAATGATTAGTAGGACGTAGCAAGGGGATTGTACCCGTCATGTCCCCAGCATAAGTAAGTGCTATTGGTGATGTGACAATACCACTGTACAAATCCTGGGAATACACTGGGTTAGTTTGCTGCATCCTGTCCTGAGATCTATCACCTGTCTATGTATGTTTTTCTGATGTCCAGGTATGATTGGGTATTAAGACCAAGCTGTTCCATAGCTAAGTGTAGCCTGGATAACTCTATAATGACAGCATATATAAGTGCTATTGATGTGACCGCTGTACAAATCCCAGAATCCACTGGGATAATATGCAGTCCTAATACCTTCCAAAAATCAGGTCACTAATGTCTTTCTGATGCTAGACAAAATTGGGCTAAGTGTTTGGATTTAAGGGGGAGAATATGCTTCTGAAACTACTGGTGAAGGATGTATAGTAATATTGATATGTGTACAGTGAATACAGACCAGTTGTTTACAATGGTGAGCTCCAGAAAGGGACAGTATCTTCATATAATTAAAATATGGCTGTGGTGCATTGGAGAATCGACTGGTGAGAATCGACTCCAGAGAAAGGTATTCAGCAACCCATGCTTGCCGTAAAAGGTGGTTGTGCTTGTCGTAAGAGGCGACTAACGGGATCAGGTGGTCAGGCTCGATGAGTGCAACAAACAAAGCAATGGAGAATCATATGAACCATAAAAAAGTGGAATGTTTGCAAGGATTGTAATGGGGAATTACTGAAGATTTACTAAGTCCCTATTATATGCATCAAGCAGCAACCTGGGGGGATATTACCCGACATGTCCCCAGCATAAGTAAGTGCTATTGGTGAGGTGACAATACCACTGTACAAATCCTGGGAATAGGTGGGTGAGGATAGCAGCCCTGTTCAGGGGCTCCCTTCAATGACCATGATGATGCAATGGGGAATCACAGCAGCAGGTGTGCTGCTATAGTCTTGTGATGATGTAATCATCTGCTGAGAATTGATATTTAAGATTGATGTCCAGCTCTGACAATGAGTTCATTATGGAAAACCTGAGCACTAGCTACATTAGGATGGTTTATCACTGAACAGGCAATAGGGCTGTAGCAACATCATAATACATAACAAATGATAATTAATTTTACCGATGTGATTTGCACGAAGGATGAAAGGACTACAAAAATGTTCATCATCTTTGCTGATGATGTGAGACAGCGTGTTTCAGATGCATAACCCAGAACACATTTCCACATTTCAAGATGTGAAAAAAAGATGTTTGTAAATACAGAATTATGATATGAGTGTACAGTATAGCCTGTAGACGGGCCGATGCATGTCCCCAGCATAGGTAAGTGCTATCTGTTATTTCACAACAGCACTGTACAGATACAAGGGATATGCTGAGCCATTAGACTTCCTCTACACAGAAAAAAAAAATCACTTAATAATCTTTGCAAATATAATTATGAAAATGGACCATGTGGTAAGTTTCCAGGCCCCTCCCCAGCATTCGTAAGTGCTAATTTCACCATGTCAACCAGTACATTACAAATACCTGGGACGATCAGGGAAAAATTGGTTGCAATTTCATTCTGACCATTTCCAACAAAAAGGTTTAGATTCTTAAATGTAAATGATGATTTTTAGAAGACGGGTCCCTAGCAACAATAAGTGCTACTTGATATCATGCAAGCACAAAATTGTTCCCAGGAACCTGCCCCCATTGTACAGCGCAGTCCTGGATGATGCAGCAGACAAGATCCCCAGCATCAGTAAGTGCTAGTTGGCAGTATCACCAGCACAGACAGATTCTAGGAAACTTGCTCACTTACACAGATTCACATCTGTAAAATGTATTACACAATTTTTATCTGGTTATCAAAAAGTACAACTAACATGTTTGTTAAATAAAATCTATAAAATTATTTCACAACAATTTTACAAACAAATGTTAGTTCTATATATTTGATGATTTACTCAGCAAGGCAGTAATTCTGCTTGGAAATACTAACAGTGTCATAACATTTTTCACAACCTTTAAACTCACGATCCCACTGGGCTCCCTCCCCCCGGCCAGGTAAGTAACTAAGTAATCATACCATGTCCTTGGCAGGTCATTAACACCTGGCCTATTGTGTAATTAAGATGCCCCAATTAAGAGGAACAAAGGCCAGCATCAGTCAAAGTAGTATTTGCACACCTCGTCTCACCTGGCATC